TAAACCTACGCTCAAAACTAAACCTAAGTTTAGCCGGCTTATCGAAGGTACACTAACTAACATTAGCCGTAACATATAATATACGTGTGTTGTGATGTGCGTTCCTAATGTTTTAATTTAAAATAAATACCACAACTGCACTTAGCACTGCATTCCTTTAATCTGTTTCTATATTCTGTGCACGCTCAAGCTTGCATTCCGTTTGCGACAAAATGTCGCATATTCTACGTAGATTCCCGCGTCTGTATGTGGCATTTCAATATCTCTAACGATCCTTTAATGCTCTAGATATTTCAGATTTAGCATAATCTTGAAAGATAAAATGACAGTATGCCAAATCAAGAGATACGAAATGTCTAATTTGAGGATCGAGTATCCGCCTCATTTGCATGACGTTTGCAACTAATTCTCTCAAATATCAAAGAGGTCGAAAAGTTGCAAGGGATTTTTGGAGTGAGAAAGAGAGCGCCGTGTGGATAATTTTTTTTAAATGAAAATTGACAAAACATTGTTATTGATACCGGCGATGACCGAACTTAGGGTACTCACGTTCTGTGAAATTCAACTAGGCCTGCATCCTCCTTATCGTATCTCTTCCTGGTTACGTCAATGTACATCAGTGGACTGTTTAATAGATAATGCTAACGTTTTCAGTCTTATTAGTCTGACATCTGTCACTAAACTGCCTTCGAAAATCAACTTGATTTAAAAGCGGGCCGCCACATTGAGAAATAAAATTCATTTATAACGGTTTATTGCTCATCGTGAACTTTTATTTCGCCGCCGAAATTTACGGCTCATATTTCGCGTTCGCAATTGAGAGTTTCAAAAATGGAAGAACTTGTTACGTCACAAAGTTTTGAGATGGTAATGATAGTTTTGTTTACACGTAATTTCTATATACAGTCCACGGATGTTAGAAATCTCTGTTCCATTTCTATTTTATTCTACACTCCAAAACTTCAATGAGGGCTAATAATTTTCCACTCACCAGATTTTTACTAGCAACAATAAAACAATAACGTTGACACTGATGCGAAGCCTTTTTTTTTGCTTGGATCCTTTGTTATTAATCTAATCAGTATAAAGTATAACTAATAGTACAGAAAGAAACATTAACCTTCACATTTTTCGAACAAATTAACTTTCCGACTATGAAATCTGTCTAATATAACAGCTCATTTTTAAATTTCGCCGCTCTGGTGGCAGAGAAAGGTTCATTTAAACCTCTCTAAAATATTCCGAAACTATCTATCCCTGCAGTGTAGCTAATCATTATTATGCATTAAAAGAAAATTATCACCGATGTATGGCCTCGCTGCCTCAATAGAGCAACATTTTTTTTTTTATTTATTGATCAAAGTGTTCATACATATTTTTTTTATTTATACCATTAAACCAAAAATGGTTTGTATTGGTACTCACATTCGCAACTAACGCACTGCTAAACATTAAATAATTAGTTAATTTCTTAACAGTAATAAAAATATACATTAAAATATACCTCCTTTATTGTGTAAGTGGTAAGCACCCATTTGCAATTTTTACTTGGGACGTTCCAGAATTGAGCGCCACCGACTTGAGCGCTCATTGCTTTTGTTGTGGAACCTGTTCTACTAGACTAGACAGTGCATACTACTAATTATATACAGGTTGTTTCACTAATAAGTAACTAAATAATAACTATAATTCTGATTCATTTTATAAGACAAAGTTCTTTATATTATCGTAATAATATTTTTTGAGTTTTTCTTTATAGTTTTTTGTGTTTAATTCTTTATGGATGTTTTGCGTGATGTTATTTAAAAGAGTTGGAATTAAAAATTCTATTGTTCGCCTACCATAGTAATTTGAAATTTTTGGTAATATTTCTTGTAATTACTTTATGGGATATTGGCACTTGGATGATTTTATTATTGAATTGTTCAATTAAGAGGGTCATGTGAAATTTCATTTGCTTGGGTAATATATTGCAGTATTTATAAATATCTAATAAGTTATCTTTATATTGTTGTTTTATTTTTTGAGGTACAATAAGTTTAAGTAATCTCAGTTGTAGTTTATATATTTTTTCGGTATATGACTTAAAGGGTCGTCCATAACTTGAAATTCCATATGATATAATTGACTCAGCTAAGGCTTTATACATAATGAGTAGGATATTATATGGTACTTCAGGTTTTAAAATGTAGAATTTAGCCAATATAGCTTGTAATTTGTCACAGACAGAATCTATGTGAAATCTCCAGATAAATCTATTATCTACAATTAATCCTAAGTAAGTGTGATGCGTTACTTGTTCGATTGCCTCACATTTACAAACCCTAGATGAAATTGATTTGTGCAGACATCTGTGACTGTGAGCAACCACCTTAAAATCCGTGTTGTGTTTTATATAGTTTGAGTGAACGTGAATGATTTTGGTTTTATTTGCATTCAAGACAAGTCCCTCATCATGTGCCCATTTGGATATTTGTGTAAAATCTTGTTGTAGCCATTGCGCTGCTTCTTTTAGGTCCTTGCTGGTAGCCAAAATACACGTGTCATCCGCGTATTGATATGTCCAGTCTAGTCTGTCCGCATTACGAAGCGCGGAAAGTTGCTTCGCGTTTAGACCACAGCAAGCTTTACTAGCATGAACCACCTTGCCACAGGATCTACATTCCAGTCCAGGTATCTTGGTGGTTATAACTTTGTTGCAGATATCACATTTAGTCATTATGTTTTCGTATTAATATTTTATTTAGGGGGTAGTTACCACACGTATTAAAAGATGTTAACACAGAACCGACAAACACAGCAGCGGGAGATCGAACATGATGTGTGTAAAACCAAAGATATCTTCGAAAAACGACTAAGTGGCGCGATCACCCTATATCCAGGAGGGGACTGCCAAATGATGATGATCATAATAATAAATCTTTATTATTTGTGAGAAACATGGTATATGAAGTTGTTACAATTTATCCAATGTCGTCTTTCGCAAAAAGCCTTGTTGTTTTGTTTGTTTATTCCACAATATTAATTGCTATCAAAACATCTCATCTTTATTTAAAAATACTAATGTTTTTTTTTTTGTATAATTTTCTGCTTGATAATTTCAATTCTTCGGGTATTTTATTGTTTACTAGCAACCCGCCCCGACTTCGCCTGAATAGAATCTATTTATGTTGCGCTGTTTAGATTTAAGGTAAAAATCAAACGGCCAAATACGCGAGCGCCAAACGCTACTCAATTTTAAAATGTCGTCAAGTTTCGTGGTGTCACAGACGCTTTGACTTGAAGTGATCGAGAGAGCACGACACTTGACGACGTCTTAAAATTGAGCAGCGTTTGAGTATTTGGGCAAAAGACAATTATCCTATTAGATTAGGTACTCAAAAAAAAAATAACCTAGATCACTCCCGGCATTGCTCTCTCTGTTCGTGAAATTTCATTACCGAAGCCATTCGGAAGACAAACATTTTAAAAATGTTTAGTCAACTCTTGATATAATGCAAATAACCCCTTAGCTCAATAAACGGCAGCTATTTCGATATACAGACGGTCCGTTCAATTTAATATTGAGTATAGATTTTCATGCCTATAGTTAGACTAGTTCTTGTTATATTTAACGAGGCCAGGAATAGGACAAGTATTGTCTGGGTCACGTCGTTTTCGGCAATATATCACTTGCTTAAAGAAACAATGACTTATTTTTAAAAGCCCAAATGCCTAGTTCACAAATGTTAGTGACGAGAGGGGTAATATACCAAGTCTTATAAATAGTGGTTCACAGGATGCCTCTGGTGATATCCCACATATTGCACGAATACAGTTTTTGGGTAACGAATAAATATTTCGAGCCAGATCATTACTCCATATTACGAAGAAGACCATAGCGTAAAATATACTACGTATGCGTGGTACGTCACAATTGCCGTATTAATATTTATAATGTTTTTGACCTGTAAGGCATACACAAAGGACAATGTCCAGAATCGCCCTGTGTAATAAAAGCATCGGACATACACGATAATTAATTTTATATTTTATTATATTAGTTGCAAATACTTTTATAACACGGACTAGCTGCATGCAAAAATTAACATTAAAAAGTATTATACTCGACAAATAACATTAATCGCCGCCATCTTCGCCAAACATCATGTGGTGTCGAAAAATGATCAGGGATGCCCAATCGATTGTAATCGATTTTTGAATTTTTAATGAACTGTTGTATATTTTTTAATCTGAATTACATTTTGAATTTATATCGAATAAAATTGCAAAAAGAAGCTACAATAAGAATATTAAATTACCGTTTCTTTATATTCTTTTATATTATTAACGTGGACTATGTATCTGCTTGTCACCTTTATTCTATAAAAAGAAATCGAGCTGTGGTTGTCTCGTGGACTCATTCAACGTAACTTATTCTTTGATCCTTTAGCAATCGAGTGGTGTAATTAAAATTGGATGTAGATGATAGATAGATATGTAGCTGCAACACCTAACTGTATCCCAAGATTTTGTTATCATCAGTTTTCTGAATTGCCTCCCACTATGGAAGCAAATTGAAAGACGTCAAATCGTTACCGTTACAGCCTACTATAACATTGGCCGCCCCCCATAGATTGCCTCATAGAGGAAACTTTTTCAGATCTTTCGATCTTTGGGAAAGGTCAACGAGATCTCCAGCATAGCACTGACGCAGCCTGATTTTCTTTTCTTTTCTTCTTTTCGAAGATATTTGCCCAGGTTATCTTATGTAATTCATACCATTTTTGCGTGCCATAGATGCAAATAAAAATGACACACTAAAATCTGCCATAGATTCAACCGCAGTTTATTATTTTAAGTCTTTATTAGGAAATCGCTGCTGCCCATCTCCTGATTTGTTTCCCTCTGTCGCGTTTTAACACTCACGGGATGATATGGGGTAGTGGATATTCTTACACCGCCACTACACGTTAAAGACATCAAAAGTGCGTTCTAAAAAGTATCAATTTCCATTCCAGTTACTGTTGGAGCACCTAGAATGCCTGGTCTCGAGGCACGAGCGGTCGCTGCGCATGACGGTGGTGAAGCGGCAGGCGGCCGCGCAGTCCGGCGTCTCCTCGGAGGTGGAGGTGCTCAAGGCGCTCAAGAGCCTCTTCGAGCACCACAAGGCTCTAGACGAGAAGGTCAGTTCTAAACTTTAGGTTTTTAACTCCTCACTTGGAACTTGGAATATTGAGAAATAGACATCCTTACCTTTCTTTTCATTTTCTTTAATACGCTACCTCCACATTAGAATTTTCTCTTGTATAGTGGGGGCAGTTTACATACATAAATTTCACAAGGACAAACATCCGGACCCGGAACAATTGTTGTAGGTCATAGAAATACTTGTTTCGTGTGGGATTCTAACACGCGGCCCTTCGTTAATCCACTGCGGCACGGTGCCATCCATATCATAGCCCACAAAGACAGACATAGACATGAGTTTTATTAGCATTAATACATTCACAGGTAACATATTATAAGATAAAGGAAACATAATTAAAACTAAATCTTAACCAGAATATTACTTTCCGTTAGTGATGTGATACCAAAAAGGATTCCGATCCAGCGTATCCCGCCTCAGGTACTGCAGAAGCACTGATTTTCAGCAGAGCCCTGATACATGTTGGTAATAGATATATACAGGATTGTTTTTCAAAGTGTAGCCAAATTTTAAACTCAAGCACAAATAAATAAGGGTATACCGTTATTGCAATCTTTGTAAATACAAGTAAATAAGGCTTCTATTTTTATTTGAAATTATCTCAAATTGAATGTGATTTATGGGCAACTACGTTTTTGCCTACCAATCGACCCTTACGAATGTGTACGTGCGCAATAAAATCAGTTAAAATAATGCATTAGCACGCATTTTTATACACGTATTATTTTACACGTGGTAGAGCCATGCTGCAGCTATATTACTAGTATAGTTGTAGCACGAATGGGTCGGCTCGACCGGGGAAGGACCACGCTCTCACAGAATACCAACGTAAAATAGCAGCTTAACAATGCTGTTTCGTATGGTTAGTGTATGTAGAGAACTGGAGACCCTTTTTACTGGAAACAAGGCATTCCATCTTAGTCCTTGCGGGTGACAAGGCATCTTTCTATGGGCCACAGCAACCACTTACCATCAGGTGGACTGTGTGCTTGTTTGTCACACTCACCTATAAATAAAATTAATTTAAAAGATAAACAGGACAGAATTATTGAGATTATTTTAAATTAATATTTCTTCACCATTTGCCTATATTACTTATTCTAAATCAAACCAAATTTGGCCAGTTAATGCATATATCCATCTATATCCATCATGGATATCATATATCCATCTATGTGGCGAGGGCGTAATGAAATCCATCGCCTCATTTCGTTCCGTATTCCGTTATTGTAAGAGACGACTATAGAAAATGCCAGAAAAAGTATTTTGTCTTTCGAATCTCTTCAGGTAAATCCTTCTTACACGTGTGAGACTCATGGTCAGCAGTGGATTTGTACGAGGGAATAATAAACGTTAAAATAAGTCCGTTATTTGAAAAAAATTTTTTTCATACTCATGCGTTATGAGGTCCATACAACCCGATTATATTGTTTAAACAAAATTATATGCGTGCGTACATTCGTAATTTTTTTTATTTGTTAGTCCATTGGATAATGAATGTATGTAGAGATCCAGAATTTTTGTATAAAACCAAAGTGACAAACGAAGTTACCTGGTGGTAAGTGGCTATTGCGGTCTATGAACATCAGCAATCAAGGATGGACGGAAGACGGAAGGAGCAATCCACTTATGCACTCACGAAAATATGAATTAAATAAAAGTAAAATTATATTTTTAGAACATACCTGTACGCTAGCGAGGTACGATAATATCATGGTTATTGGTTGAAAACATATTAATATAGCGTATTTGGATTTTCAGGTCCGGGAGAGACTTCGTGTGGCGCTAGAGAGAAACACGGCGTTAGAAGAAGAGTTAGCTTTAACCAAAGAAGAAGTAAGTTGTCACGTCGTACCCACATATATTTAACCAGTTTACAATATACGTCAGTAGCCTAATGGCAGGGCGCAGACCGCGAAGTCGAAAGGTCGTGGGTTCGAATCCGCCATTCGACTACTGTTGTGAACCACTTCTAACACAAGCATTTAAGGCTTACCAGAAGTGGTTAAAGGGAATATTAGTAATGTTTTAATAGCATTAATAGTGTTTATTAAAAATATGTATTTTATTAGAGAAGTATTACATTTATAATTGTTACTTCGATATTACAAAGTTTACAATGGGGCACAGCATCCACTTACCGTCAGGTAGACTGTGTGCTCGTTTGTCACCCTGATTGTATAAAAAAAACAATGATTCACGACTATAGTGGAATGGAAAATATTTATTACAATGTTTTATACTGCAAAATGCTTTGCGATAGGAGTGGTTTTCTGACAGGGGGTAGTCAATTGGTGAATTACCACCAAGGTCTTTGAGTTTCGCAATTCGTACCCAGTATCATGAGGGTATAGTTGTCTGTTCGATTGCTAATGATAATGGGAATACAAAATGTGTTACTGACTCTTTTATAGCCAATTTATTAATTTGTAACGTTTGAACTTGAACTTCGGCCAAAACCAATGACAATAAAAATACGACATTTCGGTAAACTGCAACATGTGGAATCGAATGAAACAAAATTAACGAATACAACGACACTGTTCGCATTTACTTTGTTTAATTAAATCTAAAACTGTTCCTGTTGTTATGAGTTCATCGTTGCCATAGCTCTACGGTTATTTTTTTTTTTAGAGCCTTAGGACAAATACAAACGCCATTGAAGTTAATTTAATGTCTGATTTCTTATTATAAACATTTTACTAGTTACTAACATAGCCAGTTTCCTTATTGGTTACCAACGGTTGGTTTAAGCTGAACCCGATCACACAGTATATTTGTATAAATAATATTATATTTTGTAAAAATGTGTGTAGGATAATAGATTAAAGGTTTTTGTTGCCCAGTTAATAATAAATTAAATATTTACGCACTAAAAAGTCGGTTACTAGGAATTCGGTGAAAAATTCATCACATTACCTACCGGAAATGACATGAAATTTGTATGTTTGTGTGACATTTTTACATGTGACTTAGCCTAATAACGAAAGGCTATCGTTATATATTTTCTTACCTAAAGTACGGATCTAAGAAATACTCTGCGTCTACTAACGCATATAAAACGTAGTATTATTAAAACTTAGTATTATTATTAAAATGATAATTAAGTGACATGGGATAGGGGTGACAAACGAGTACACAGTCCACCACCTGATGGTTGCTGTGGCCCTTAGACATCTACATCAAAACTTTGTTACCCTTGAGGACTAGGAAGGAATGCCTCGTTTCCAGTGAAAAGGGTCTCCGTTTCTCTACACTCACCGTACGAAACACAGCAGCGTCATGCTGCTATTTTACGCTGGTGTTCTGTGAGAGCGTGGTACTTCCCCGGTCGAGGCGACCCATTCGTGCTAAAACTATACCAGTAATATAGCTGCAGCATGACTGTACCACGTAAAAAAAAGTCTATTATAAAGTTATATATATATCGTACCAGCTACAGCAGTATAAATCGTCGAGCGCGCAAGAGAACGAAAAGCCGAAAGAGAATGGCAGCGTGGGCGGCTCCCCCGAGCAGAATGGCGAACAGCAACAGACCAAGGTGGGTAGATGCAAATATTTTTGACATTTCATTGAAAAGAAAAAAATAAGGCTTAGTACAAAAAACTTTCGCCGTCTTATTACAAAATGTTATTGATAGCCTCGAGTTTAGACTGGTTTCGTAATGGTCCTAACTAAAGAAGTCCTTTAGCTTCGGCGCCATAGTTGAGAAATTTGACATAATATGCTATCAAACTTTATACATTATATTTTAGTTTTTATATTTGCGCGGGAGTTCTTTCGCAAAACAAATTTAGGTTTAAACTTGAGACTATATATATAAATTACTTTTTCTATTAAGGCTGTCGAAGTTGGGCCTTCTTATTCAATTTAGGCTTTTTTAATGCTCCTTATGAACGTTGAACTTAATACCGGTTTTCAAAACTAAGACCTCAAAGAAGAACCGCCAAAAACTAAGGTGTTCTATTTATTTTTTTAAAATATCGGTGTTATTTTCTGTAGTTTTGGTCCAGCCATAGGAAGTCTGATCGTTTTCTAAAATATAAATTTACTGCCCTCTTACGACATCCTGAAACGAACTAGCGTGATGCAGTATCTTACGCTGCCATAACCAGTTATGGGTATTGCAAGCCTGACGTATAAGGAACGTATTACGTTTATCTCATTTATTTTTAAGATATTTTTGTATGTTTGGTATCTATATATAAAGAAGAAACTACGCTACTAATGTATATATGAAGGTAAGTTTATGATAACGTAGGATATACACACAATACATTCACACTGTAACCGAAACAACTGACCCGATTGGCGATTTTTGTATCAAAAATTTATATAATTACACACAAAAAAAATACTAGTCAGTGTTATAACAATTTAGACGCTTTGTGAATGTTAATTGTGCGAAATATTTAGTGTTCTTATATTTATTATTTGAGAACATGTCTTGCACTTGTTTATGCACTGTTGCGGGGTAGAATTTATTTAGTTCTGTTTTTCTCTCTAATCACAGTAACGGCCCGTTATCCAGATAGTGATTTTTACGAATCGTTTTTATTTTTTCTATTTTTACTTCATTTTCTGAAGTCTTGACTCCGTTTGTCGCAATAATCTTTTTGTAACTGTGTGAAGGAACATTTGGAATTTGAAAAAAAAAAGGAAACGTTTATTTGACCAACAGACAACATTAAAAAACACGAAATTCATACAATTTACAATTTGGTTACTATACAGTAAGAAAGGTAAACCCGCCTCTCTCCCCCCCCACTAGATGGAGTGATGACCTGGTTAAGACATGCAGGAAGTCAATGGATGCAGGTGACTCGGGACCGTGCTTTGTGGCATTCCTTGGGGGAGACCTATGTTCAGCAGTGGACTTGTGATGAGCTGTAACGATGATGATGCTGTGCAGTTAAAAAGGATTCAAATGTTTTGCTCTTTTTTCTCAAAATGATTTCATGATTTTTTAAGTTGCACTGGTGTTCATCTTTGACTACGATTAGGATTTGTTGAATAGTCATGGCGTATTTAGGTGTGAACGGGCCGTTAGGATTTTACAGATTAATGATTCTAGAAACAGCGTGTGTTCAAAGATGTGCAAGACATGTTCGAGTTCACTTCTATGGCGTATCGCTAATTTTTACTATTAAATATTATATAAAGTCCATTTATTTTTCACGTGATTGTGCCACACTATGTTATGTAATTTCGATCCGAGAAAGACTAAACTCACACCAAAAAATATTGAAAATACACACACCATAAGTGAGTGTGTGACGTCATCTGTTACGTCACGCAACATAGATGACAGCAACCATCCAAGATGGACGAAATCATGAGAAGGGATCGCTTGCCATTGGATATCCTGTTAATGACAAGTCTGCTAAAAATATACAGTCAGTAACATATGAAATAGCGTTACGCCATGGAAGGGTGCCTAGATTTTTTTCTAGTTATAGTCTGGCATGTTCAATTTAATTTTATGTGTTTGTTTCGGTGTACACAGGAGCAAAGTAGTGTTAACGGCGAATCCGAGAGCAACAAGAAACTCACTGAGCTCCAAAATACGATCGCTAAGCAGGTCAGACCAGAGTCTACCTTATTTATCATATATCTATTAATTCTATATATATATTATAAGTGAAATACCACTCACTCATCATGAGATCTCCAAAACTATACGCCCGATTGACTTGAAGTTTGGCATATATACTCCTTTCTCGACGTAGACACCCACTGGGAAAGTATTTTGGAAAATTCAACCCCTGACGGGGTGAAATATAGGATGTTACACCTTGTTTATATTATATATTCGAATCATCTATAATTTGTCATTGGTTTTCCATTACTGGTTGCATTGGCAAGCGATTGCAATGACGATTTAAATGAATTCAAATAATGCTCTGTTCGTGATATATGGTGGAAAAAGACATAGAGTTAGGTTCATGTTTTTTTTAATTTTTATAGTTTTATGGTAAAATTTTTGCTACCATTTTTGCATGATATTTAGAATAATATGTCACTTATTATATAGTTGTAGTGTTTTCAAAAATTCAATCACCATTGGGATTGCATGTTTTAAAATACAGTCATGTACCTGATAATCTTTATAATAAAGAATATCAAATATAAAAAAGTTTATTGTTCAGACAAAAATTAAATAAAAAATTAGTATCACTTTTAATTACAGTATTATTTTTGATTAAGGTTGCTGTCGAATCTGACTGCTGGCATCGTCTGTAAATTATAATATGCTCTTGCGAAAAGCTGTCTATGTTGAAAAAAAAAACTACTTTTAAAGAACTGATTTTTGAGGTTTTTTTTTTCATTGATTTGGATTTAATTTATTGATATGATAGAAATATATATCTATGCTATACAATATTAATGCATGTAATATGATACAGTTCTTTCAGTAACCTTGGGTTTATTTTGCAAATGCGTAAGTTATGTTAATTTTGATTTTAATTTTCAATTATCTAAAATAAATTTTTACGTTTGCTTTATGTAGTTAATTTACAGTTCTATCTTTATAAACTCATAAAGAGACATACCTATTACCTACATTCCATCACATTGCTCTACAGAGAGTTGGTATATTTTTCGTTTTTGTTATTGTAATATGTTGTCATTATATCACTTTTTGTGTTTTTGTGTTGGTAGCAATTAAATAGAACATAATCTGAACATACATATTTTCATAGCATTACCACAGCATTCAAGTGAAAACATAATACCTACGTTTTTCACATTCAGGTAGAATATTTCAAAATACATCTCACCTTACTTCAGGGGAACGTTGAATAACAAGTTACTAATAAGAACAGTGCACGCAAATACAATTTGTACAGTTGACGGCTCCGTGGGGCAGTGGCTTAGCAATAGAGTTGCGGTGTTGAGTACCGCGGGTACGAATCCCGCACAGAACAAGCATTTGTATGGCCTACAAACATTTATTCCTGGTCTGGATATTTGTCTTCGTGATGTTTTTGTACGTAAACTGCCTCTACGATATAAGAGCAAATCCTAGTGTAGGGGTAACGTTTTTTTTTAAAGATAAATATAGAATGTTGTATATGCTTCACTGTACCCATTATAGAAAAATATGTAGAATGTACTTAAGGGTAATTAACTTACATTCAATACTTACATACTAATTACGTTATGATCATCATCATCATCATCATTACATCAAAATTTCACTGCTGAACATAGGCCTCCCTCTCGATTGCCTCATAGGTGTCGGTTTTTATTATATTGATCTATTATCATGAAAATGCTTCTGCCCATTTCCTGATTCATTTGCCTTTTTTTATAAGATAGGGTGACAAACGAGCACACAGTCCACCTGATGGTAAATGGTTGCTGTGACCCATAGACATCTACATCTATCCTCAATAAAGAATCAAAATGCAGATGCGTCGTCAACCGTGGGGACTAAGATGGAATGCCGCTTTTCCAGTAAAATACATCTCCGGTTCTCTTCACTCACTGTACGAAACACAGCAGTATCAAGCTCGAGCCGACCCATTCGTGCTGCAACCAACATATGTACTACGTACTAGAGAAGCCATTCCAAACAAAAATTGTGTCCTACTCTATGTCTTTGCGCATGCGCGGTAGTAGTAGTCGCGCATGAGCGAAGACTTTAATTTGATATAAAATAAGATATTAATATAAAATAAATATAAGAATTTAATATAAAATATCTTAATTTAAACTAAACAAACATATTTCTAAATAAAATGTAATAATAATTATTTTATGGAATTCACAAATCTTCAATTTACGCAATATTTAGTTTGTATGGACTGCAGTACAGTTCAGTTGAACATAGTCAATGTTCGGAATGGCTTCTCTAGTACGTAGTACATATAACTCAATGCAACTATACTACTAATATAGCTGCAGCATGGCTCTACAACGTATAAAATGCCTTTGTCGCCTCTTACGCCACCTACGGGATGATATGGGATAGTTGATTTTTTTATGCCGTACCTACACGGCAAATATAATTAAGCTAAATTATTATTATGATTACCTGTATTGTACACATTAAGATTGTAATGTAAGTTAAAAATGAAAAACTGATTTGAATCACGTCCAAAAACAGGTGCATTATTAACATATACAATCATTAAATGAAACTAATTTTACGGATTTTATCTCTTTATTTTAATGATTTCTAATATTAATGCGAATATCTTATAATCTTTAAATTAAATTAATTATACGGATTTTATCACGTTTAATTATCCGACCCGAAACGTCGGGATTAAAAAGGCAAAATTAAACGCGATAAAATCCGTATAATTAATTTAATTTAAAGATTATAAGATATTCGCATTAATATTAGAAATCATTAAATACAATCATTCTATTTCATACAAAACAAACTAATTTAAATTTGCGTCGTATCATTTCAGCAGTTGGTTTAATGACATACCTAAATAAAATGAGTATCTGTAAAACAAGAGCAACAATGCTGTAAAATTTCACAGTATTTGTTTATAAACAACAGAAAGCTGTTACAAAAAGTCATCCAAGTAGCATTTTATAATGTAGGAATGGATGTTTTTAAATCTACCTTGAATAACCATTTAAAAATGTACACTAACGCTAGATTGATTGCTCTTTTGCATTCTGTTGCTATTTAATGGTTATGCTGTAAACTTTTATCCGCCTAATTGATATTCATTTCGTTCAAGGTCATTGAATCTATGAATACCAGAATGTTCTGATTGTTATTCCTGTTTAAAGTATATACATTGAACCACTTCCTCACCAGTCGGCAGAGCTCAGTTCTTGGCAGCGGCGTGTGGCCGAGCTGAACAATAAGGTTACGGAGCTTGAAGAGAGACTGTCGAAGGGCGAAAAGGAACTCGTCAAGAAGCAAGAGGAGTGCGCTAAGTTGCAGCGGGATCTGAGAGAGAATGTCGCCCAGAAAGAGGATCAGGTGCGCTTAGTATACTCTGTCATTGGAGTCTTTCATTTACTTTTTGGCACGATAATCTCATTTTATAATTATTAAGACTTTAATTTACAATAAAGTTGTTAAATGAATTGTTGATATTTTTTGGCCCTGGAAGGACCGATAATTTTATCTCCTTAAAATTTTTTGACTACCTCGTTGCCCTAGTGGTCGTAAACGCGATTGGTCGGGCCAAAATGAAGGGTTTTTCAGTAAAGCAATTCTCAGTAGCTGCCTGGTGACAGGAAGTTGACGGTGTTTTACCTGCGTGCCTACAAAAGCACGTAAAGCCGTTGGTCCTGCGTCTGATCTCTCTCAGGTCGTGTCGGATTATCGTCTCATCGGAATATCGGTATGCGTACACCTAATCCGTCAACGGCCGAAGTTTGCTCGGGCGAAGACGGCCGAACTCGGACGATCGAAACAAACACTTGTAAAACAAAGAGAGTGCGTACATAAACATGACCGTCATCGTCCGATGACGCACGAAATCGGCCGATCAACTGTTGAGTCCGAACTTGTTGGGATTTCTCGCCACATTGCCGGCGTCTTTATTCCGTTGTTTTTGTCAGTGTTTTTATCTACCTAAACGACTATAGATATTGAAAAATTAATTAGTTGTGTTTATAATAGACAATTACAATAATCGAGAGGTTTCGAAACGGTTATCGGCCGAAAATGGGACTGAAATGGATATAGCGGTTCCAGATATTTAAAAAAATGCGTTTTCACTCTGTTTAGCAACACAGTCAACTACAGAATACCGGCAACGTTCAATGTCGGCAAAACGTGGTACAATGTTGCAGTGTAAGCACATACACGTCCGAGTTACTCGTCCGGGTAGTTCTGTCCGTCATCGGCCGACAAAATCTGTTTTGGTGTACACGTACCGTATGAGAGTGAGGGAGAGTGCAGTGTTCGCGCACACACTCGTGCACTATATATAATCCTGTACTGCGCAAATTCCTAGCCTCCGTTGAGACTGGCCGTCATGACAGAAATTCTGTCTAGAGGACATTATATTGTTTTAGTCCAATTTTTTTTATTATAAAATGCGATTAATCTCTTTTTCAAACTACTTCAAAAAAGGAGGAGGTTCTCAATTCGTCGGAATCTTTTTTTTATGTGGGATCACCTTTTACTCAAAGACGCTTGATCCGATTTGGAAAAATAGTTGTTTTTTTTTGTTTGAAAAAGTATACTTACTTCCCAGGTGGTCCCATTTAAATTTTGACAAAATCGGTGGAGAGGTTTTTAAAAATTTAACAATAAATTATATTCGTGAAGTCGTTTGTATAAAATTATAAATTTACTACTTGTTATATATAACTTTATAATTACTTTCAGGAGGAAAGGATAGCAACCCTTGAAAAGCGATACCTCAATGCACAGCGAGAGTCCACCTCCCTCCACGATCTGAACGAAAAGCTAGAACAGGAGTTGCAGCACAAGCAAGCGCAGCTAAAGGTATAATTGTAAATGCACCTTAATTGTAATTGATCCCCTCTAACCCATAAACCAGTCTCGATACGCCACCGGTTTGCATTTCTCATTCTTCCTAATTCAGAAACAAATGAATTAGTTTCAAAAGTCGGTTTGAGCATAGAACCCTTTTCACATTTACTTTAAAATGGAATCAACGATAAACCACTCTGTTAAGCATTCTAGTTCATTTAAATAAAACTAGTTTTTACAGATTTTATCACGTACATGAACTTATTTTATATTCCCGACGTTTCGTGTACTTTACGATCATTCAAGATACTATAAGTTCATTCAGCGTAGATCGGACCTAAAATGAATTATTTTAATCTGGGGGTAGCCGTAGTTAACTATGACATTGGGACGTCGAACTTCTCAGTACCCCCCTGTGATGGGTGCTGTAAAGAACGTCGGGAATATAAAAAATAATGTACGCGATAAAATCCATAAAAATTAGTTTTGCTTAAATGTGTAGTATTCGCGATATCTTCATTCTAGTTCAGTTTACTTCTCGCTTTAGCCTTAGTCAGTCGACTAATCAGTCGATTCAATTTTTTTATTTAAATAAAAGAAAGCAATTCATTAGATACTACTACAAAAAGAAATAATCCATTTAACACCCTTTCACCGCCATGACACATGTAAATACCTTCCCTACAGCTTCAAGAAGAGAAGATAGCCGCCATAGAAGAGAAGTTGGAACTATCCACGCAGAAATTGGCGCAAATGTCTTCCCTTCCAGAGATGGAAGAACAGCTAAAGGCTAGAATGGAAGCTCTCAATCAGGTACTATACCATTATCACCTGTTCTCTTTTTAATATTTTAAAATAGTTTTAATTAAAACGTTCTTCAGTTCATATTTCATTTGTCATTTGCTTTTTTTATTTAATTTAATAATAAAAGTAAAATAATAGCGATTATGTATAAAAACTTTTTGAATATTTGTTGTCATTCAATATTGCTATCGTTCAATTTTAAATAATACGTAAACATTATCTTGCCATTTGGTCTCAGTAATTCGACAGGCATATTTCAGTGAAATCAATTCATCTCTTCATCACTATATGAAATGTTATTGCTTGGTCTTTATAGTTATAAAAGCAGCTTTTTTACAGGTTTTTAAAATTAACGATGCTAAATTCATAAAATACATTTTTTTTTATTAATAGACCTGATAAATAATCAGGTACTACATAAAATATTATTTTAAATAAAAGTATAAAAATTATAAACGCAGAAATAATCCACTGCTGAACACAATTTTATTTATGTTTTAAAATCTTTATTGCATTTCCTTAGCAAAAAAAAAAAAAGGCGTACTTAATGCCTAAAGGCATTTCTACCAGTCAACCCACTACCAGTCAACTAGTGAGTTGGCTTCTTCCACTAATCAAACGTGGTGATTTTGTACTAAATACCGTAAATATCTCTCACCTTTGACGTTTACTTTATTATAATGAAATAAAAATTAATGAATATGTTTAATTGCATATTTAACTAAACTGCAGTTAATCTTTTATCTCGTATCATTTGTGGATTGTCGTTAGTCGTATGGTTTGTGTTTGTGGCATGTGTGTTTATGTCTTTAAAAAAATCTTAAAATTGTTATTTAATTTGTCAAATTTTTATGTTTATTTCTTAAAACGAAATGTTGTGGAAGAGTGAGACAGACCTTCTGCTACAACTACTTATATAGTTACTACAACGTCTCAACTTTTTTCTATAAATGTATAAAGTAAATGAATAAACATTATTAAAATTAAGGGAATTAGGAGGAAGAAAAATAATTAACATAATAATGGAACCATAGAATTATAGTGTGTGCGTGTATGTGTGCGTGCGTGTGTGCGTGCGTGCGTGCGTGCGTGCATAAATTTATACATTGTACATCATAAAGGTCTCTGCCTCCTCATAATTGAGAGTCTCAATCCAACTTGTAATACATTTTTACATACGTAATAATTCATAGGGAAGATATTTAGTTTTTTATTAATTTTATTAAAATAAGTAGTATTTTATTATACTATTTAATATTTCATTTCATTCCATATTAAATTGTTAAATTTTGTGGAAACAGATTGTTTTCAGATTGTAAGCTTTCATACGTCTCACTGCTGGGCCCTGAGCCTAGTTCTCTTATTTTTAGATGAGCTTTGAACCAGGAAAGAATCCGCCGCTCCGCCCTTATTGGTCGACTTCACCAACTCCTCGAAACATTTTCACTTTCTCAGACAGGTTTATTCCCCCCAACCCACGGTTTTTTTCCTTGACGTGGTAAAGCAGTACTTAAAAGAGACTAACCAATCACCTTGTGGTCGTAAATGCGATTGCTGATCATGAGATCCCGATTTCGAATCCCGGGTCAGGCCAAAATCGGTTATTAGGTTTTTTTGAAATTCTCAGCAGCAGCCCGGAGTTGATGTCTGTTTGTCCCATCGGACTAAGAGAGTGAGGGAAGAGTGCACCTGTGTTCAGTTGTGTGGCTAGTCTCCGTTGAGACTGACCACCGTGAACGAAATTCGGTCTGGAGGACATTATTATTACATTTAGAAATATTAACATGTTGATGTGACATTACAGCGTGATTTATTTCGTTGTTTCAAGGCCCAAGAGCGACATGGTTCGGCCGAAGACAGAATACAGAGGCTGGAAGCGAGCGTGGAGGAGAAAAACGCGGAACTGATGAGACTGAATCAACGGCTTCGGATGAACGAGGAGCACAACACGAGACTCTCGGCCACCGTGGACAAACTGCTCTCCGAATCCAACGAGAGGTGAGTGTTAATAAAAATTAGGGTTAGTAAAACACGACGTACTTCTGGTGTATCGTGGAGGCGTTTTATAATTTGTACATGTGACAACTCAGAAACAAGTATTTGGAGGTCATTCAAATACTTGTATTGTGCGCGTTGGAACACTGTGGTGTTGCAGACACATTTGGCCAATGTGCTGCTGAACATCCACCGTCATCTGTTGGTCTACATTTAGTAGTGCGAGTGTCCCTCATTGTGTAGTGCGAATGGGAGAGCAGCCACTTATCATCCCGTGAGTGTCGTAAGAGACAGAGGGAAACTGAAACAGGAGATAATCATCAGAATATTATAAAAATGCGGTTGCCAACCCGCCTCCCAAGCGTAGATACTATCTACAAAAAATCCGCAAAATCCCCCATATGAGGAAATCTATGGGAGAGATTTATATTTAGCAGTGGAATTTTGATAGTCTGTAATGATAAAATGATGCTCTCTCATATCTCTCTAATGGTTGTAGCACCAATAGGTCAACTGACTGGTGAAGGACTAGGCTCGCACAATGCCAGCGTTAAATATCAGCATAATGACGCTGTGTTGCGAATAGTAAGTGTTGAAGACCCTTTTACTTGAAACGAGGCATTATATCTTAGCTCTGAGGGAGGACAATCTGTGTTATATATAGAGTATCTTCCTTTTGATTCTTAATTGACGATATGTGTGTGTGTGTCTGTAAGTCAAAGCATACACCCACAATTAATGTGTGCTCGATTTTTACCCGTACAGTTATAAAAAATCAAGCTATTTGTGACTTTCGTCAATGCTTCTCATTTTTCCAGGTTACAAGTACACCTTAAAGAGCGAATGCACTCATTGGACGAGAAGAATGCGTTAACGCAAGAGCTGGAGAAGACCCGAAAGTATGCCGACGAACTGCTGGCAGAGAAGCAGGAGATACTTAAGGAGTTGGCCAAGTGGCGCATGGAGACCGAGCAGGTATCACTCATCTTTACATTTTTCTCTTGTCGAACCTTTATTCAATATTACAGCATTCTTTGAACTTCATCTCTGAGATGTGTTTTTTCAAGTTTTAAAAGATGTACGCATTGTTGTTTGGCGGTAGAAATTAGTAAGAAGCGGGGAGAGGGGGGACTCGATCCAGAAGGAGCTCTATGCAGAAGGCAACAAACACACACAGATATCCTCCTGAAAACCATAGAATCGGGTATGAATGACAAGATTTGGACTTCATCTCTCAAATAATTAAACTGAGATCACGAAATTTATTTCTTGAATTTTAAATAAAATTAATATATTAAGATTGGGGCCTACATCCTGTACCCACCACATACAACCATTCGAGCGAAACAGTTTGCTTCGTCGTTTAGTATGCGTACAACAAAAGGAGAAAAATAATCTGTCGGTATCTGTGTTTCCACCCGATTATAATGTGGGTGTCTTCAAGGTAAGAGTGAATAGGCTTTTTCTCAGCTAAGTCAGTGCGCTTTATCGTTTTCGGCTGCATTAACACTTACCAACAGGTGGGATAGTAATCAAGCACTGGCTTGTAATAGTCAAAAAATGGATAATTATACTGATAAATAATCGATAATAGACGGAATTTTTGCGGGAACTTCACCGACGGCAGATTATTGCTCCTGTTTTATCGTTCAAATATGGTTTAAAGTGATTTTGCATATTATGTGTCTGCCTATGTGAACTAATAGTGGAAACGATCTATCAAGTGTTTCGATGATGATATAAATCTCGTTTTTTTATAGGCTGTATGGCATTAGACCTTTGCCTGTTTGAATTGATGAATTGTAACAATAACAAACGATAATGAGCATGAGCATATACTTAGAATATATTTATTCTAAGTTTATGTGTATGAGTATAACAAGTGGGCGTTATAAACTTTTACGTTGAAAAAATTGTAAAACATAGTAAAGTAAATACAAAATATTCTTATCTATAGAAATAATTTGAAGTGTGTTTGTAATGTCAAAATTACAGCTTTTTACTAAATGCATATGAAAGTGTATACGGTACTAATAACAAAAATATAATTTTTAGCGTTTTTGTCTGTCTGTCTGTCTGTTTGTTCCGGCTAATCTCCGAAACGGCTGGACCGATTTTGACGGGATTTTCACTGGAAGATAGCTGATGTCACAAGGAGTAACTTAGGCTAGGTAAACTAGAATTAGGGTTCCGCGCAAAAAAATTAAAACCCCAAAAACACGCGGGCGAAATCGCGTTGAACAGCTAGTAATTATCTATATATAATAGCAACTTATTTTTGTTGATTTGGTAGTAAAATTATTATTTGGTTGATCTTTATCTAAACTTTAGGTTTTGGAGAAAACTCTTGACATATAAGATACAGACTCAGTAAGCATAGTTTAGAAGTAGTTTCATAAATATTTTTAGAAGTATATACATCTAAACTTAGTTTTGTTTTTATGGCTTATTATGTATATTTAATCTTAAGGATGCAATAAATATATGGGTTATATGTAAAGTTTTCTCATCTGGTTGGGCTGTATAAATATATATGTAAATGAAAATGATAAACATACAGAAATATAAATAAAATGAAATAAATACATAAATAAATAAAAACCCAACCAGATGGAAGCCCTTGGCAGGGGAGACTAAACGGCCGAGGGTTACGGGGAAAGGGAAAGAAACCGGCGGACGATGCGGGCGGTATCGAGGAGCACCGCCTTCAGCATTTGAGGTTGGAGCGGTCCGTCACGGAGTCCCAGTCGCCTCAGATGACCCGAGAGGCTGACTGGGATTAACCCGTTCGCAGAAACGACCACAGGAATAATTTCGGTCGGCAGACCACTCCACATGTCGGTCACCTCGTGAGTCAGGTCCAAATATTTTGTCAGCTTATCTGTTTCGGCTTTCATGACCTCAAAAAACTCTCGTCATAAGGAATGGTAATGTCGACCAAAAATATTCTCGACTGTGCCCGGTCTATCAGCACAATATCAGGCTTATTTGCAAGAATAATTCTGTCTGTGATGATGGCCCGGTCTTAGTAGAGCCTGGCGCGGTCATTTTCGAGCAAGACTTCCGGCAAGTAGTTATAATTGGCAGTTTCCAATTCACGAGACCGTATTTCAGAGCGAGCTCCTGGTGTAGAATCCTGGCTACTAGGTTGTATCTATGCAAATACTCAGAGTTAGAAAGCGCCGAACAACCGGAAATGACATGCCTAAGTGACTCATTGGATGGCAATAAATATATTATTATTATCTTATTGATTACTTATTTCTTTTTTAATGTAGATTGTTGCTCTCGGTTTGTTACTGTACTTCATTATCATCATTATAGTCCTCCACAAGTCTGCTGCTGAATATAGGCTTTCTCAAGGAACGCTATAAAGCACGGTCCTGAACTATCTGTATATCATCGACTTCCTACATGTTTTAATAGGTCTTCCTCCATGTAGTGGGGGGCCGGCGTACATTTCGCGTACGGGTACGAGGGTAGCACTCGTCCCATTGAAGTTTTATTTGATAATGTATACATGCATGTGTTGTTGGTTGCGGGTGCAGCTGAAGCGGCAGCTGCTGCAGCAGGAGATCGCGTTCAACATCCAGCAGACGGACGCGCTCACGCGCTCGCTGTCGCCCGGCGCGCCGCCGCATGCGCCGCACGCGCCGCACGCGCCCCACGCGCCGCTCCCGCACCAAGTGCCGCTCTTTGCGCCCAAGGTCACTACGCTTCTCCTTCTCCTTCTACTACTTCTACTTTTCTTTCATGTGCTTCGCCATCTTATTCTTATTATGTTCTTGTGTTTTGTGTGTATGTGTGTGTGTGTGTGTGTGTGTGTGTGTGTGTGTGTGTGTGTGTGTGTGTGTGTGTTACAAATGAGCACATAGTATACCTGATGGTAAAATACTGTGTCCCACAGACATCACCTCTATTCTATCTACATCTATTAAAAATCAAATTACTCATGCAATGTTACCTCTGACGCCTTAAATGAAATACTTCGCCACCGGTATATATTCGGTTCCAACAAACTATTAAAAAAACAGCAGCATCATCACCAAATTAACTGGTTTTTTTATTAAATGAAAAGACATTTGTATATATCGTAGTCCAATCGTAGAATTGAGCAGGTTCTAATCTACCTAGGCATTTCTTAATACACCACCATTTCATAATTTAGCCGATAATTTATACACCATAGCACTTTGTAATTGGTCAAATCATGAAATGCCCAGGCAAATTGCGACCTTCTAACGATCGTACTACCAATATATACATTGAAATTGTACTGATCTTCTTCATATTCCATTTATCCACATTCTACTATAATCCCCGCGTGATCTAAATGAGATGAAACCTTATCGAAGTTAATTAAAAATGACAGTTCTAGCGCGTAGTTGGGTTAACAAAAAAGTTTTAATTATAAAAAAAAAATTATTTATTTGTATTCCTAGATTCCTTAGCCAACAGTGTTATTGTAATGCGTTAGAAGGCAGACTTGGTTCTTAGAAATGTTGGCAATAAATCATTCGTGGATTTTCTTTCAAAAATATTACATTATTGATAGAAAAAAAGAAAGAAACATCTTTATTTGAAGCTACATAATACACAATTACACCATATTAATATATTAACTACATTATCATTAATGCAACAATAAACAGGCACCCGACTCAGTATTGTGTCGCGGTGTAATAACCACAACGCTGTTATTCTACCGGTGCTCTTTTTAAGAACTCACGAACAGTCGCCAAAATGTTTTATCTATTAAAAATACAAGTAAAAATTTAAAAAATAAAAAGTACAGTAAAATATACTAAACAATATAATTGTCTGTTCGCGCAAAACTCTGTTGTCGGAATCGACACCAGATGTCACTCGGCTCGGCGCGATTCCGGTCTGAAGTTCTTCCGATCCTGGCAGTGGCGCGCGGGTCGCAAGCGGATCAGTCATCTGCCAGATGTGCTAATGTTTGCACGCTGTTAATTTTGTGCGGGAACCGCGGAATAGTTAGGGCGTCTAGTAAATATCCTGTCTAGGAATTATAACGCGCATTCCCTGTTTGGATAGCCTTTCCCGGGACTTATTGGGTCCGACTCAGAATCTGTATAAGTGCATTCGACAATATAAGCTAGTGCGGCCTCGGTATTTAGAACTGTTGCCACGCGAAACGGTAGTGACCTTTGACCTAGAAACTCCGGGCGTGTTTTGTGCGGTAACCTTATACCCCGCGATAGTTAGTGGCTTCTGTAAGCTAGTTAATCGTACGATAGAGTTAAGTGACTGGCATCGTGGTGAACCAAGAAAGTGACTGTGGATAACCTCGAAAGGCCCCCTCAAGTTGGAGCGGTATCGACGCTCGGGCTGCTGCCGACGGCTAAGGTCTAGGTTCAATCACCATCAGTCACACCCAGATACACACCACATCACCATTCTTTCCCTTGCACTACACAACCACATGCGACCTGACCGACTCCGGAGGAACCAGTCGCCTTGGATAGAGGTAAGTGAACTCCGCCAAATTCCTTCCGGTCGACTGGCCGTAGTATAACGCTCCCCCATATATTTAGTGTAATTAGAGAACTTCCACGTGGCCTTAGGAGGCCCGACCTACGTTTGCTCGGGAAGTCTTCTGCTGATGGGCCCCGGGGGATTGGATCCTTTAAGGGAGCAACCGTAGGCCGTAACAATTTGGTAGCAGAGCGTGGTTCCGGGTTCGATTCCCGGTCGATCCCGACTATAGTGTTTGATAAACATTAAACAATTTTGGTGGCAGGGAGCGTCGGTGTGATTGGTTTAATTTGCATCTACAATCACGCCCGTCCGTAATACGTAAAAATATTTTTTTTTGTACGTAATAATAGAATTATTTTCCTTTGTTGCTTTGTTGCTTGCCTTTTTTGTGGTTAGAGGGTAATTTGAAAAGCCGCGCCCTAGGTTGGGCAAGCGGGAGTTTTTCTAGAGATATACGTCATGTAGGTAGATGGTTATTTTTACGTAATCGGTTAATTATCGTTGTCGGAGAGTTGTAGTGGATTACTTATCGAAGGGTCGATTTCCGAGCTAGGCATTTTTGTTGATCGACCGTGATGTGTATCTTCGTTTATACTGTAATTTGTATTTGAACTAAAGAGTAGTAATTTGGATTTTTACGCCATTTGAATTTAACTTGATTTGGTCGCACTAGTATTTGTTATTGTTAATTTGATTTGTGTCTTTTCTTTGGTGCTAACTTGTATTTGGTTGATACGTAGTAATTCGTATTTGTGTAATTTCTATTCAACGCTATTTGATAGGAACTGCATTTATTAACTGTTAATTTTTTGGTATATTTTTTATTTGTTATCTTTGTAATTTGTGCTCGAGCCGCGTCGTAATTTGTATTTAATAGTGATGACATCGCCCAAGCTACTGATCCGTTGTTTGCGGACTGAGCTACGCTGGGCCACAAGCGCCCATGCTTTGATAGGTCGACCGGATAGGGTCCATAACTTGATGAAGCGGTTCGAGCAGGTGGATGCTCGAAGGGCCGCAGTGGAGGAAGCTTACGCTGAGCTCGAGGATTCGGATGTGGAGAAGGGAGTCCTGGACTCTTGCTTTGCGGACTATGAGCAGTTCTTGTGGCTCACGGACGAGTTGATCGAGGCTGAAGGCAGGTATGCCGAGGAGGCGCGTGAAGCTCGGATGAGTAACCTGCCCGAGTCCTCTCTGAAGCAGCTTCAGCCGGAGCTGTTGGGACGACTCCCAACTCTGGACCTGCCAAAGTTCTCCGGGGTCCTTTCCGAATGGCTGACCTTCGTTGGTCTTTTCGACAGCCTAGTGGACGCCCGGAGTGACTTGACCCCGAGACAAAAGATGGCGTACCTCCTGGCCTCACTGGAGGGGGAGGCCCTGGGCGTCGTCGGCCACTTGAAATTGTCGGACGACGCCTACCAGACTGCTCGGGACCTCCTAGCCAGAAGATACGCCAACGTCCGGCGAATTGCAGACGAGCATGTTAAGCAGCTTCTAAGCCTCCCGCTGCTTAGTGACCGGGCCAGACTGCGTCCGGACCTGTTGGATCCAGTCTTGGTGGCCTGTAATACGTTGAGGCGGCTGGGTTTACCAGTGGGCGAATGGGCCTTTTTGTTGTTCCGCATAGTGCTGTCCCGTCTACCTCTCGACCTTCGAATCCATTTTGAGGAGAGGTACGGCGGGGACGAGGCCTCCTATATTCCGCCCTTCTATGATCTGCTGCGGTTTTTAGAGGAGCAGTGCCGGCAGATCGAGAACGCGGCGGGCACCGTTGACGACTTACGAGACGTGCCCAGTGAGAGGCTGAACCCGCCAGGCAAGTCGTCGTCAACCTCCCCCTGCTCCTATTGTCGAGCATCTGATCACCGGGTAACGTTGTGCCCGAAATTATTAGGTAAGCCGGTTCCTGCGAGGCGAACTATCGCCAAGGAGCGCCGCTGGTGCTGGTCATGTCTGGGAGGGCACCTCCAGCGAGACTGTCCGCATCGACGGCCCTGTCTGCATTGCCAGGGCAATCACCATGCCGTTTTGTGCCTGGGTGCGAACGGCGTCTCCTCTCGGGGCTCTGCCAGGCCCTCGACCCCCACGGGCGGGGGCGCTCAGCCACGCCCTCTGCTGGGCGACAATCGGCGCTCGCCGGCCAGCCACCAGGCCCCTAAGTTTGAAAGGGGCCCCTCCCCCAAGCAGTTGGGGGGTAATTCCCCCAGGGGCGGGGGTGTCATCACCCCCCCTCAGCGTGTGGAGAGGAACTTCACGGCCACTCATCGGTCCGCTGGACCCTTCTCACTTCCGTTAGCTGAGTGGCCGCGACTGGTGTACCACTGTTCCCCATTTGATGGAGGCGGCCCTGTCTAGCTGCTGCCTAGTTCCCACCACGGCCGCCTCCACTGAGCCTTAAGCCGTCAACAGTCCACTTGTCAAAATGTTCTGTTGCCGACGGCCTCAGTGAAGGCGTACAACCCGAGTGGCAACTGTTAAAGGTTGTGCTCTATTTATCTCGGGTTCACGCCATGTGGCCTCCCCTTAGTGGTGGGAAGATTAGGGCCCCCTCTGGAGCGTTGAATCACGTTGTCAAGGGGTATTAGATTTGGTTTGGTCGAGCACTTAGTCAAAAAATACTTGAATTAAAATTAAAAATTGCTTTGGGCTTTCCGCGAAATTCTCCTATTTGTAGCGGTTTAAATTAAAAGAATTGAATTTAATCTACTCCTTTAAATGCTACTGCATGTGTTTTGTACATATATTTAATCACTGTATTTGATTGTTGCGTTTGTTTGCTGAAAGGAAAATTTGAATTCATCTGAAATGGAATGGCGCACTATTTGAAAAATTATGTTTATGTTTATGATAGTGTTTAATCATTTTTGTTTTCTAAGAAGTAGGGCTGTCCCTTACGTTATTGTTTTGTTTAATTTGCAAGTTGACCTATGCGCATCGGTGATTAATTTGGTTGAATTAATTCTGTAGTTGAACATTGATGCTTTTGAAAAATTAGTTGAAATATGAGCATAGGACTACTTGTCTAACAGGCTAGCTAGTTTGGAGATTATCAGATTGAAATCAGCTGCCGCACTATTTTAGTAAATGATAATATGGTGGGTGGCCTGGCTAGGCCTACTTGTTGAAAATTCATACTAGGGACTATCTGTGCGTTTCGTTCGGCTCTCCACAGACGACGTTCATGTGGAATTTGTGGGTGCTCTCTGCACTGAAGCTTAGGAGGCCGCTCGAGGCCGCTTCGTGTCGCGTCACTGTTTGCAGAGCTGATCCGGTCGGATTGCGGAACTAATCATAGGGGCACAGATAGGTGTTTGAAAGAGGTCGTCGGACTTCTGTCCAGTACAGGACTTATTAAAGTGCTGCGATGCCCAGGAGGGGCATCCAGTGGAGGCTGACCCTCCGGCTTGCCACATTAGGGATATCTTTGAGGCGTTGATTAGGGTTGCAAGACCTAATGGATTGCCTAAGGTGGCCTAGTTTGGTTGTAGATTCGGTCTTGCAACTTGCAGTCTCGACCTTGTCCCGCTGACCGGTTTGCTCGCGGACCTAAATCCTTATGTCCGGGACGGGGGTTTGTTCGCGCAAAACTCTGTTGTCGGAATCGACACCAGATGTCACTCGGCTCGGCGCGATTCCGGTCTGAAGTTCTTCCGATCCTGGCAGTGGCGCGCGGGTCGCAAGCGGATCAGTCATCTGCCAGATGTGCTAATGTTTGCACGCTGTTAATTTTGTGCGGGAACCGCGGAATAGTTAGGGCGTCTAGTAAATATCCTGTCTAGGAATTATAACGCGCATTCCCTGTTTGGATAGCCTTTCCCGGGACTTATTGGGTCCGACTCAGAATCTGTATAAGTGCATTCGACAATATAAGCTAGTGCGGCCTCGGTATTTAGAACTGTTGCCACGCGAAACGGTAGTGACCTTTGACCTAGAAACTCCGGGCGTGTTTTGTGCGGTAACCTTATACCCCGCGATAGTTAGTGGCTTCTGTAAGCTAGTTAATCGTACGATAGAGTTAAGTGACTGGCATCGTGGTGAACCAAGAAAGTGACTGTGGATAACCTCGAAAGGCCCCCTCAAGTTGGAGCGGTATCGACGCTCGGGCTGCTGCCGACGGCTAAGGTCTAGGTTCAATCACCATCAGTCACACCCAGATACACACCACATCACCATTCTTTCCCTTGCACTACACAACCACATGCGACCTGACCGACTCCGGAGGAACCAGTCGCCTTGGATAGAGGTAAGTGAACTCCGCCAAATTCCTTCCGGTCGACTGGCCGTAGTATAACGCTCCCCCATATATTTAGTGTAATTAGAGAACTTCCACGTGGCCTTAGGAGGCCCGACCTACGTTTGCTCGGGAAGTCTTCTGCTGATGGGCCCCGGGGGATTGGATCCTTTAAGGGAGCAACCGTAGGCCGTAACATTGTCTATACAATAACATAATCTAAACACTAGCGAAATCCACGTCAAATAATACGTATATCATCTAGCTATGACGCGAGTTTGCTAACGCTACCTTACTGACGTGACTAACGTGTCCTTCAGCTTCAAAAGGCTGCATCTCATTTTGACCGCACGGGAATTACACCCGCTCCATTAATGACAGTTTCTCATTGTAACCGTGGCACATGTTGCAGCTGGACAGCTCGTGGGAGAAGCTGCAACAAGCGCATGTGCTCGCCAACGTCCAGCAAGCGTACGATGTTTCCAGCGATGCCGAGGTATCTATGAAATTATACTAACTTCTAACAGAATTGCACTCTTTATTTTTATTTAATTTATTTTGCAACAGCGTAACACAATAACTGTAAAAATAATATTCACATTTTTTATAGAATAAGAGCGACAAACGAGCGCACAGTTCACCTGATGGTAAGTGGATGCTGAGGACCATAGACATCTACATCTATGTGTTTATGCGTTGTTGCCCCTGAGGATGATAATATGGAAAACCTCGTTTCCAGTAAAAAAGGTATCTGATTCTATACACTCACCACACGAAACACTACTGTGTTTCGTGTGGCATTAAGCTGCTATTTTGCGCTAGTATTCTGTGAGAGCGTTGAAAAAATGTCATATTTTTGTTAATTATACAATAATTAAATATATAGAGTTTTAATATATAAAGATATATTATATACCCCTATAACTTCGTTGTAGATAAAACTAGAAGCTTGAATTCAGTAGACTTCACTAAACAATGTAATTTACTATAATATGTATTACTTGTGAGATACATTGTGTTTTCATTTTTTTCTATAGGATAAGGGTGATAAACGAGCACACAGTCCACCTGATGGTAAGTGGTTGCTGCGACCCATAGACATCTACATCAATCCTCTATTACAAATCAAAATGTAGATGCGTTGTCACCCGTGAGGACTAAGATGGAATGCCTCATTTCCAGTAAAAAGGGCCTCCGGCCACCTGCACTCACCAAGCGAAACGCAGAGGTAAACCTCTACTTCACGCTGGTTTTCTGTGAGGTCGTGGTACCACCCCGGTTCGAGCCGGCCCATATGTGCGACAGCAAAAGCTGCCGCGTGGCTCTAACACTGTTGTCTAATTATGTTGCGATTGCCAAGTCAATCTATTTATTTAAAACATAAAAGATTTTTAATATTGATATGGTCACAATAAGATGTTGTTAGGTTAGCTAAGTACGTAATAACTTGAGACAGGAGGCCCTTAATAAATTAACCGACTTGGTATTACATGGATCTCACAACTTTTTACGGTAGAAGAACTGAGTTGTGAGACTTGGTTTTTTTAAAAGTTATATTTTGGATGGCATAATGTTATATCGTTAAAGGGCTACAACGCCCAGTACAACGTACAGCTACTACTTACTACAGTCCCTCCTGATAGTAAGTAGTAGCTGTAACCCTCAATAGTTAAACGCAGTAACTGGCTTAGCTTATCAGTTCGATTTAATGTAACTTTTTTTATATAGGATTTAAACATACATTACCATCGATCACTAATAAAAATACATCACATAAGAATAAATGTCTGTTTGCATATTCAATGTAATTCGTTACATTTGCACTTTGCACCCATATATTTTGTCGGCTCCGTGGTGCAGTGGCTTAGCAATGCGTTATTGCGCTGGGGACCGCGGGTTCCAATCTCGCACGGAACAAGTATTTGTATGGCCTGCAAATAATTGTTCCGGGTCTGGATGTTTGTCCTCGTGCAATATATATGTAATCCTAGTGTGGGGGTAATGGTTTTTTTTAGATTTTCTGCTTAGCCTGGAGGTAGACTGGTAGAAAATGCCTTGTTGCATTAAGTCCGCCTTTTTGTACTAGGTGTGCAAATAAAGCGTCAATAAATAAATAAATAAATTTGTTTTGAATAAATTAACTGCCTACCTGTTATTTTACTTAAAACTTCCCGAAAGTATTGCCATACAATTTACACATATAAATATTAAAAGATTCTGCCTTCATGAAAGTTAAATTTATTATTAAATGAAAGATCATTATTTTCAGAACGACGAGTCCGATGGCGGCGTAGAAGGTGGGCATACTGACGCTGCAGCCTTGGCGCTGATGCTGCAGGAGCAGCTGGACGCCATCAACACAGAGATCAGACTTATCCAAGAAGAGAAGCAGAGCACGGAGGCGAGAGCGGAGGAACTCGAGTCCAGGGTAAGAGCAAATGTTGCAGATGTAATCAGAGTGCAGGCGTTTTTAATCTGGATACAACTGGTAATTCATTTATCTTTCTGGTTAATTGAAGATGTTAAAAATTAGTTAGTTAAAATACGCGTAATAAAATAAAATGATGTGTCTTACTTAGTTTGAAGAGCACCTCCCGCCCTCAATTGCGTGCACACCGCCGTCGATAATACGACACGTGTTTCGCCTCTAAACGAGGCATCCTCAGGTGACTTAATAATAATAGCGAATTTTTAACATCTTTAATATAATAGATTTCCGCTAAGTAACGCCTGATCTATTTCTGGTAGAATTCAGCTGGGAGGGGCGGGGGTATAAAGGGAAAAATAGCTCACCTCATGACCACTGCTGTCTATAGACACTAGCGATGAGCGTTGAATCAACGAACTAGTTGAATCAACCGTTTATCTTATGTCAACGTATTAACGTTAACCGTTTATGAATCAACTAGTTGAATTCGTCAACGACGTTTATGAATTTAAGTCGTGCGTCTCGTTAACGCTACGAACTGAGCAAATTAAAAAATTTACGTTAAAAATAACGTCACAGATTGCGAGCGATGATCATGTCATACAATTTGAACTCTAAGGAACCTATAAAGGAGTTTATTTTCGAAATATTTATTTTAAGAATAGTACTTATGACGATATTGGTGGAATGGCGCGCCGCCCCGCTCGTGCCGTCCGAGAGAAATAGGTTCATTCTAGTTTGCTTATTTACGTATACGAACGGTATGAAGTTTGCTTTTTTTTAATTTTGATTGACAGTTTGTGACAAGATGCGCGTAAATAAGTTTAGACTTTTTAGTTAATGTTTATAGTAACAGTGTAAATTTGTTTGTGTTAATATAATTGTGTATATCTGAATAAAATAGGACTAATCAAGGTACAAAATTGAAAGGGTCGGGACGTACTGGCGTAGCAGTAAATTGTGACTGCATTTCGAAAAATAAAAAAGCCAAAAAATATTTGAAAAAATAAACAAAACTATAAAAAACATTGTAAATAATTGATTTGCGCACATAGAATCAGACGATATCTTAAATACGCCTGAGTAGAATATGATTTATAGCTAATTGTATTCAATCAGTCCTAAGCCTAAAGAAAAAGTATAAAGGGAAGGTCATCTAAGTAGAACCATTAATCAAACGTTTTCCAATACATACATCAAATTGTTTTTAAAATTGAAAGTCGTAGCATTGAATTAAAACAGTCCAAAGAATTAACGGTTTACGTTGCAAGTTGACATTAGTAGTACGTTAACTCGTTGACGAATTCAACTAGTTGACAAACTTAAATCAACGTTAACGTTTCGTTAACGGAAAAACCGTCAACGACCCATCGCTCATAGACACGCACATTATACAAAGGCTTATAAATGCCTTGTCATTCCCGAAGCCTAAGATGGAATGTCTCCAAGGACCTGGAGAACTAGAATTTAATTGGTTCTCTTCACTTAAACCTGAATAAAAACCAGTGCTCTATAGTAGCTAAACTAGGTAGGAGAGAAGTAGAAAAGTCATGATTTCTAAATCAAAAAGGTTTTTTTTTTGAAAAATATTTAGCAAAATTGAATTAATTGAAATAATATTACGTTCATTCTTTGCCTTAATATTCGGTTCAGGATTTGTTTATAAAATATTCGATACCATTTTGTCTCATTTGGATTTGTATTTATGGTTTAATAAGAGTTAGATTATAAGCGGTATGAATTACGAGCGCTGACATACAAATTAGAAACCTTTTTAATAAAGCCACGGGGTAATCCTGTCCGATTGGTACGGTCGTTTTTCTTTTAATATTTCTAATTATAACAATAATTAGAGTTAAATGTATACAATCGTATACTTAAAACTCTTATGATTCTTATGTGGTGTTTACAAAAATTTGCGCCACCAAAATGTTCAGCGCTCATAACTTATGCCTTCTTTTATACTAACATTCACATTGGTAACGGATTTTAATTCTTATCACTATTTTTGGCTTAATATCTTTCTTGCACACAATAATTACGAAAAAAAAACGGGAAAAGTAACCAATGGTGATTGTGAATAATATAACTAATGTTTTTTTCTTCCTTTCTACTAATATTTCGGCTATAGGTTGCTTGGTTACCGACTGACTGGCTAGAGTAATTGGAGTTTCTAATTTCTGAATGGATTCGAACTTGTGTATACTAGGTTGTTTTGGAGTAATTTACAATAATTTGTCGATATGGATAACTTTTTAATTTTTTTTATTCTTAAATAATTTTTTTAAAGTTACGAGTATGTGAACCCATTTTTTCCAAATGTAAACGATAGACAATATTGATACCCTTTTCCAATTGCAATTAGTTTCTCATATGTGTTTATACGCTTGAGCTGTGTCGGTTGGTAACGATGCAACATATAGCCGTGTGTAAGTGGTGAGAGTGGCGGTGGTGATATGTGTGGTGTGGGTGGTGGCGCAGGTGGGCAGCTACGAGCACATGAACGTGGTGGCGCGGCGCGGCGACTCGCCGCCGCCCGCCGCCTCGCCCTCGCGCCCCCACCACCACAAGTACCACACGGTCAGTGCTCCCGCACTACATAACACCACACACTATTGTACTAAACATTTTACAACATGTGTACTACACCAAACACCACAATTGCACTACATCGTTACACCACCTCACTACACTGTAATCTGAAACACCAATATATTGGACTGACAAACAAGCCAATAGCAAGCGGCAACTAACTTCAAACGAAGAAAGGCAAAGAAGCGTTGCTTGCTCTGAAGACCAAGATGAAATGCCTCGAAACCAGATACTATTATGGCTCTGTATACTCGCTCTTTTACTATCCAAAAGAAAATACAGCACTAGATATAATAATAGTGATACTTACGTACAGGAAATGCGGACTTCTTTTTATTTACGTCACCATGCACTTACTTAAATTTTGTCACTTCAACCTAACAATACATGATCACTTACGTTAAACCTGAACACCACTATATTACAACACACTAATACATGGCAACATAATTAAACCACTAAATATTAACACTGCAATCCCAGTGAAAGGAATTGGTCCTACATAAGCCAGATAAATCTTAACATACAAAATTGTATCTTAGTTCACTTACAAAATCAGTTTATATTTAGATTGTTTATTGTATTGCAATAAAACAATACAATACAATATTTGATCACTTTTTATTCATTATTCTATTGTAATATATCGATCCGATTGATCGATTATTTTTTGCATTACATATTATCACGAAGTCCATCCTGTCAACACAAAACTCTCCATTATGTTTTAAATAACGCATGCAATAATTTGTCCAGAAATATTATAATTTATCGATTATAGTGTATAATATCACATATTGTCAATATGTCTATATAAAACCTCTATAAGAGAACATTGAAAATATTACACCAATCACATCAAGTTTGTAAAAGGAGTCCCATAGAAACGGTTTCTCGCCTAGAGACTCAGCACTTACTATAATTCTATATTTTTTATCCTTATGTTTTCGCAATATATTTCCATCAGATGTTTTAGAGATTCTGTATATTCAAAAGCAAAAATACACTAACGTTTAATTAATACATATTGTTCAGCCAGGTTAAATAGAGGCCCTTTTTCATAATATTCACGTCAATTTAAGAAATGCTTAAAGTTATTTTCTCTGTTTTCACTAAATAATAATGGCAAGTGACATATATAATTATATATAAGGCCGAAATTGATAAACAATGAATTATATAATTATATGTAAGGCCGATATTGATATACAATGAATATCATAAAATATTTTCTAATTACAAGTTTCAACTTTCTCCTTTCAAAATGTTATTTTGTTTTATTAGTGTTTGTATATTTAATAACATACATTTTATACTAAGAAATAACAGTTGTACAGTTTTTTTTTCCTGTGATATAAAAATTGTAATGGTGTGGTGTCGGTAGGCGCCGGCCTCGATGTCGCCCGCGCACCACTACCGCACGCCGCCCTCCTCCGAGAGCCTCCCCTCCAGTCAGGTCGGTGGCCTCCCCCCCATTCCCTTTCCTGGGCCGTATAACGGCCGTATCGCCCTTGGATTTATGCCTTGCCTCTTCGCCCAACCCGCCTAAGAATTGCAACACCGCTTCAAATGCTCATGTGCATTGTAAATCGACAACTATAGAAGTATATTTTTTTCAAATGTTACTACGCAAAGATTTTTAGATATTAGACTGAAAATTAACCATAACATTGTCAGGCAAACAACTTGACAATCAAATATCTTTAGGATAATCTAAATGATTATATAAGGGAATAAATGATTGAGAATAATAAATAACAGAAAAACAACAAGTGATATTTAAATCCTCACTTAGAGTGAAATAATTTTCGAAGTAATTTGAAATATAAGATAATAAAAAATTAAATATAAGCTTTTAAATATATGCTTTTACAAAATTATGAGAAACATAAAAAAATGGAATAAAACTATTTTTAAGGATTTTATCGCGTAATTTTTTTTTTATTCCCGATGTTTCGGACACTTCACACGCTCGTTCTGCGTAGATCGGACCAAAAATTAATAATTAAAAGTTGAAGGCAGCCTTCATTAACCATGACATCAGGATGTCAAATACCTCAGTAACTCTGTAACCATGTGTACTGTGAAGTATAGATAATACACTATATACCTGGGACTGTAAAATTAAAATTAAACTAGATAAAATCTGTAAAATTACTTTTATTCCACTTTTTAATGTTTCTCATTTTTTTCATATTTTACCTTTACAAATAAAAAAACATGTTCTAGTTGTTTTTATTGACTATAGTAAAGCGTTCGACATCCTAAGGCATGATTTACTGATTGAAAGACTTGATGAAAGTGGACTTTGAGGACCCCTTCTGAATTGGTGCAAAGATTATTTTAAAGAGAGAGCATATAGAGTTAAAGTGGGAAATGCTACAAGTATAAAGCAAACCGTCACCCATGGTACCGCCCAGGGCTCTGTGCTTGGCCCTTTGCATTACTTGACTTATGTTAATAGTGTTGCCAATATCATTAAAAACTGCAAGATCTAACAGTTTGCAGACGATACCTGCTTACTAACGGCGGAGAACGACATAAATGTGGCATTACAGAAATTGCAAGAGGATTTCACCAACCTTATGAAATAGACTCACGATGCAGGACTAATTCTGAACGCCACCAAAACAAAATTGATTTACATTTCGTCCAGTCAAAATAGAGTATCCGTTCCTTTAAAACTCCTTGCCCACAGTCACCAATGTCTTCATAATAACACGTCTAACCAGACTTGTAATTGTAATCATATTGATATAGTAGAACAACCTTAACTTGGACTCATAATAGACAGTCGATTTAAATGGACGCACCATATTAATAAAGTGTGTGATAAGTTAAGGGCCATACTTGCTAAATTTTCTATTTATATATAAAGTTCCCTATCCTATGCTGTTATCCCTTTATAAGGCTCTGGCCGAATCGATAATACAATACGGATTAGGTAGCGATTGTAGAACTTGGAAATCGCATCTTCATAGTATCCATGAATTACAGTTTGGAATCATCAAAACAATTGTCCTCCCTAAAATCTAACAACAATATCAGGATAACTACAACAAATTATTCAAGTTCTGCGGTAATTTGCCTATTGAAGAAAAACTAATACTTACTTTACTTGTAGAATAGTTCTTTAATACAAAATTGCATGTCCTACCTTTGTATAAACACCACCTTAGAAGTATATATAACCCTAAATTAATTATAGCTAAAACATAAAATGTGTATGGAGATCATCAAAATAAGATTATGATTCCTAAATTAATTAATAACCTACCTAAAACATTCAAGGAAGATATCAATCCTAAAAATATTAAATACAAATTAAAAACGTACTTTATGATTCAACGAATATAATAACTAACATAATATATCTAAAAACTAATACTATATACTATTTGTATACTATATACTATTATATATGTATACTATTTGTAATATAATTACTAGTATATTTATATTTCAAAAATATAAAATAATTTTTCTTCTGAACAACCTGTATACTACAACTCATCCTCATGTTATTGTTATAGAAGCGAGCGAACTGCCTTCTTACTCTAAATAATATTAAAATGTTTACGCTCGAAAGACGACGAACTGCAGTGTGCAGAAAAATCTTATATAGGTTTATGTTGCACTGTACTTATAAATTGTGTATAATATGTATTTTTGTTGTTGTAAAAATAAATAAAAATAAAATTAAATTACTTCAGAAATTGTTTCACTCCAAGTGAAGACTTAAATATCAGTTGTTTGTGTAAATATAAGAATCCGCTTACAAAAATACACCTATATAGTTGTCGAACTTGGCCAATCCACGGCTAACTTTCGTAATTTGTGGCAAGTCAGATCCAGCATGATTTGTCAAGCGAACGCTTTCTTTCATTGAATCTATTGTATCCCACAAACTATGCAATATTTGCGTGGCTTTGTTTTTATGTTTACACTGATACACTAAAAGCTTTTGAATTTTGTGGATTGGTTCATTAGATCAGTTTCAAATTCTCTTTAGTTGTGGATTTGTGTTTTTGTTACATAATTTTAGTGAACACGTTACTCAGTATTACGACAACTTTACATGTTTGTATAGTTATTGTATTGATCTCTTGATAATTTTAGTGTAGATATATAAAAAAGGGTTCTTACCGGTATATGACCCTTGAGGGACTCCTATAGTATATATTCAAACTGTAGTAAATAAAAAAAACTGGTTTGGTTGTGTGTTTTCAAAAACGTTTTCACAGGCGCACTGCTTCATTGACAAGTAGTTAGGCAAAGCTTATTTGTTTTTGAGAACAATGGAACATAAACTAATACAGCGAGTTCTCTTTTATTTTTATACAAATATTATTTTTGTATAATATTTTAATATAATATGGTAAAAAGGATTTTGTGTATGTGAATAATTAGATAATATATTTAGAACTAACTCGAGCCCAAATGCATAATTACTAATTTTACTACTACCTACTACTTTATTTAGTTTGTTCTCATATAAAACGCATATTTCGTTATTTCATCAAATAATTATAATTTTCAAGGCAAATTATTTTGAGTTTTATGAATTTTGTTTTTTTAATTCATGACAATTATTTAAGCTTTTGCAAATTAATAGATCTGATCACAAAATATTCAGGTTTTGTTTATATATAATGAAATATTTTGCATTTGGATAGTAAAGTATATATTTATTATATTTTTTGAATCGAATTTAAATTATGGCATGTGAAATATATGTATAATGAAACTAACAAGTTATAGTAATAATTATTGGAATATAATATTTGACTAATAATTAATTAAATATTAATGATAGTGGTAACACAATTCTTATTTTAAAATTTTGTATGAAATCTCATTATAAAAATATATAATGAATTAGATGAACCTTTGAATGGAAGATTAGCATTGATTAACGGTTTTTAATTGTTTCATTTTTGTAGGTGTGTATATGACAAGACTGAACTTTTTAAATATTGCTATTGGCGAAGTTGTATGAAAAAATGGTATAAAAATATAAATATTTGCGTAGAGATAGTTTAGTCTTTGGTAACGTACTTCACTTGTTGTCCAGTCATCACAGTGCTAAGGTGTATTTGTAAACTATGTAACGTAATATGGTAACGTATTGCAGAGGTAACTTTAAATTAATATTCATTTAAATTTTGTAGCCTTGTAGTTAATTACTTGCTTACTAAGGGCTTATGGTTTGTTTTCTATTTGGTGCCACCAATTGTGTAAATATACAAATTGTTAATTTTAAAGTTTGGATCTGGAGACGTTTTTGGCTTTTTTAATCTTATGAAAGGGTAGTTCTGTTCAGTTGAGTTGTTGTTACAGTAGACGAATTAATTAATCTTAGGGAGTCGAGGTGTGTGTATAGGCACTATGAAATTTGAATTTACACTTAGATTATTTCTGAAACCTAGTTCTGTCAGTGTCTGTAGTTCTAGTCACTGAAAACTGGGCTTAGTGTATCGAGTTGAATTGTTTATATGGGAGAGGGTTCAGATGTGTGTGCGTAACGTGAATGAATGTATGCCTGTGTACGAGTGGTTGCGAGCGTGGGCGCTAACAGTGTGTGGGGTGTGCAGCTGCAGCTGTGCGAGGAGTCTGGCGGGGTGGCGGGAGCGGGCGGGGGCGCGGGCGCGGGTGCGGGGGGCGCGGAGGGCGGCGCGTCGCCGCTGACGGCGCGCTCGCTGCGGCTGGAACGCGCGGCGCGCGCGCTGCACGCCGAGCGCGACCGCCTGCGCACGCACTACCCCGCGCCATACGATTCGTAAGCTTTTTTTAATTCTATTCCATAATGGACTTTCACGGTTGTACTTTTGCCAGTGTCTTTTTTTGTCTTTTCAAAAACTTTACCCCCACACTAGGATTTTCTCCTGTATCGTGGAGGCAATTTACAAACATAAATAAAAAAAATACTTTTAAACCAAACAAATACTCGTTTCATAAAGAATTTAAACTCGTGAACCCCAGCGCTGCAACTCATTCCTAAGCCACTGACGCCACGAAGCCGTCAAATATATTAACCACTGCTAAACATAAACCTCACCTATATGTTAACTCACTGAATGAATATTTATCACAGCTACTATAGTTGACAGGCGAATTAGTAACCACACCGATAATCGATTTTTTCCTATAAATTCCAAATTAACATTTCAAAAACCCACTCATTATACCGTCCCATCAAAGGTTAATTATAAGGAAACAAACAGTGTACATGGGCATGCACATATACTCAAACACAGTTAATCTATCCTGCGCAGATAACTAAAATTCATTAAGACTAGACGTAATTACTTAAAATCGGTCTAAATAACATCCTTAAATAAACATTTCACAATCAACCTCGATTGCCATTAAAACCACTGCAAAACATATATAAAATTTCATTGCAAAAATTACTACACTAAGTAGTTCTTTTAAAATACACTTACATTTAATATATATTTTATATTAATATTTGGACTTAAAAATACTTAATTTTTTTATCAAATTGAGTAAATAAAAATATTTTAAATTAGTCCTTCCAGCCGAATATTACTTTTGCAAATTACAATTAAAGAAAATATTGTTTAAAATTATTATTAAACTGAATAGGCTATAATGGTAACTGTAAACTTATATAGAAAAGAAATTTTAAACCTTTGCGACACTTACAAGCAGGTTAGCAATTACTGTTAAAAATTTTGAACCTTATAGTATACCACTGTATATTTTGGTTTATTTGTGTTTTGCTTTAATAAACATACTATATTATAATAAATATTTTATACATTTCATGCTGCTCAGGAATTCTATCATGTCAGGAAGCCTCGCCAGGATCCCAATTCACAGGTGGTCATCTCAACCTAGCTTAACACCTAAAACTAAAATCATAAGACCTATTTATCATTCTGATATGAAACTATTAAAAATATGGTGCAATTGTCCTGGCACTCTGTTTAACTACGCCCCACACAGGTTATGTTTTAAAATCGAAATTGTACAAAATATCGACAAATTTCGACACTTATCTCTTACACCATCCTTTTCCATGTAAGACTGCCAGTTATTTTTAAAGGGCGCGAGCAACCAACGCCTCTGTCAGGCATTAACCTATGTATTTATAAATAAAACATAATTTGAAGATTTGTGCGTATTGATTATAAGGATAATGATTATCAGTATTTATTTACACATTTATTTCAACTGACATTTTAATTGTTAGTTAAAATTAATAATAAAAGTATATTTTAAGAGACTCCAAAAGCGTTATTATTCATATTCATATATCATCTTTAAAAAAATGCTACATGCTACTTTATCTCAAATAGTTCTAACATTATCTAAAAAAAGTAAACAGTACTAATAAGGAATTTAGAAATTATATGACCTTGAAAATATTTTAGTATTTAACGGTTGACTGGTTTCAATTGTGTTAAATTGAGAATAAATTAAATGGAATTACTATGTTTTATGTTGTAAACCTGTCTGCTATTATTACGGAATATAAATAATTTATTTTACGGTACGTTGAATATTTTGTTATTTGTGTGACCCTGTAGCTATCACCGTGAGAAGAAATGCTAGATATTCATAGTAATTCCATTTTATTTAATCATTACGTCACATCAAGCTAAAATTTAGATTATTATTTCTTGCTACGTACTAGAACTGATCGCTTCATTTGAAATAAGTTTAGTTCATGTTATAGTATTTTATATATAAACTTAATATTCATTTATAGTGTCATCGCTTTTAATTTTTGCCGCAAAATACCATTTTAAGAATGTTTTTTTTAGCTTTTATGCTCTTGAATAAAAGTAATTTTAGATATTTCATCGCGTGTATTTTAACTTATTTTTAATTTCCAATGTTTCGGGTAATGATATGAAATAATAATTTCCATTGTACTCTTTGCTTACTTTAGGTGGTTAGCATTAATTTAAAATTTTAAACTGTCAGGATTTTGTTTAAGCTAAAGCTTTTAGAAACTAAACACCTCACAATATTTTAAGGGTACTACTGTAATATATCTATATTCGGATTTTACATTCAGTTTTGACTTTCATGCGGTTAGTTGCAGAGATTTTGTAGTTGAAGTATTGTTTGTTAGTTTAGAATATAATAGTTGAGTACGAGTGGGTTGAACATTGAAGTGCAATCTGGCGGCAGCTCGAGCCAAGAGTCGCTGTCGCTGGGCGCGGGCGGGGGTGCGGGCGGGGGCGGGGGTACCGCGGGCGCGGGCGGGTGGGGCGGCGCGTCGCCGTCGCTGCCGCGCGCCGCCGCGTCCGCCGCCTCCCTGGCCTCCATGCACCAGCAGAAGAAGCGGGGCATCAAAAGCTCGCTCGGGAGGTTCTTCAGCAAGAAGGACAAAGCTGGTCTAACCGTACGTCTATAAATTATAACCACTCGAAACATATTTATAACATAACAACTCGACTTAGCATAGAGAAATTAAAATTAGTACTTGTTTAATCGATTATTAGAGCACTAAGTCCGTCCACCTTATAATAACTTATAACCTATCTAACTAAATACTAGCCCCAAAAAGCAGGGCTCTCATAAATAATCAACAGTTAAAATATAAATAGAATTGAAAATACTTGCATAGGAAATTAAACCGTTCTGCAGTATAAATAAGAAGTACAGTTGTATTAGAAAATACTACCACACCTTGAAAGTAAAAATAATTGCATAGGAAATTGATTCTCGCGTTCTTAAAAATAAGAAGCGAAATCACATATGCGAAAAAATACTTCGAAACCTTGGAAATATTGATTAGCGGAATTATATTCTTCTAAATAAAACTTTATTTTCTGTGGAATTCAAGCTGACAGGGCTTATAACTCAATATTTTTAAGTATCTACCGAGTGCAGCAGAATTCACGTCACGAAAAAAATGAGATGCCCAGTAAGAAACTTTTAAAACTTACAAGTATTTTGGCTTTGCACCTGCAGACTTATCCCCTAACTTTATTAACATCAAAATGATTGCCACTTTGTAGTACATTGCGTCCTATGTCTTATGAGACATGATAGCTCTTACAGAAAAGCTACATAGAATACGCAATGTACTACAAATTATCGATAATTTTGCTGTCAACAAAGTTAGCGAATAGTTCTCAAGTTTGACATTCCTACTTGCAAGTTTGGTATAAAAACCTGGTCACGTAAATACGTACCTACACTAAACTCGATGTCACCGTTTCCTTTTTGATTAGACTCAATAATGGAAAAGAAAAACACGGACATTTTGTTTAAAAATCTTTGATTAAGGGGCTACTCCATGCGAACGACCTTGAACATTTGGTCCGCCGCGCCGACTCGCTACAATATATCGCGTAAGAAATATGTAAGACGCCACCTACTGTACGAACGTAGTATTTTTTCAATATCAATAAACTATTTTATGGAAATACATACAGCGTACAACGATAAATGTATTTTAATTTTTTTATTCGGTATATTAGTTGCATTATATTAGAATTATGTATTCTCATATATTATCTAATTATGAAATTTTATAATTAAATATATATTAAAAATGAAGCATTTAAAATTGTGAGTTTAAAAGATATCTACTCACTATAGGTAAATAGATAGTTAGCTCGCCTTTTGTACAAATATTTGGTGCAATAAAGAATAAATAAATAAATAGGATGTTTCGCAGAGTGAGAGTAATATAGAATGAGAGTCGTGGAGGCAGTTTACAAACATAAATTGCACAAGGACAAACATCCAAACCCGGAACAATTATTTGTAGGCCTTACAAATACTTGTTCCGTGCGGGATTCGAACCCGCGGCCCCCAGGGCAACAACTGATTGCTAAGCCACTGAGCCGTCGCCGGGTTATAGCTAAAGTGGTCACTTCGTCACACGTATGGTCACGTCCCGTTTTGAACGGGACTGTCCCTTTTCTCGGTCACCTGTCCCATTGTCCCCAAACAAAGCTCCGGGACACAAAATTGTCCCGTAACTCGTTGGATGGAAGTATTCAAAGCCAACAATCTTCAACATAATTTTTTTAATCGAATATATTTTATGTCTACCTGGTACAAATGCTCCAGTAGAAAGAGTATTTTTCTATTTTGAATAAATTGTTGACGTCTGAAAAAAAAACACTTACGGTTCCAGTTCTAAAGGCGATGTTGTTAACAAAGGTAACAATAAAAAAAACTTGCCCAGAATTTTATTCTTATTTAAAATCATCACCAACTTTATTAAAGCAAATTTAATCCACTGACAAATGTAATTAATAATTAAAAAAAAATATGTTGCATTTAATAATTACCGTCTATACCGAATATAATTTTATAGTGAACACTAATTGTATAAAATTTTTAGAGTATAAATAAACCCATATCCCGTTTTGAGTTAAAAAATAAATGGTCAGTATAGTTAGAGAGACGAGTAATAACCCGCAATGCCGCAGATAGGCCAACTTAGACCCCGAAGCCGAATTAGTCGCCTATGGGCCGACATACCCGACCGGGTCTTATTAGACGACCATAGACCAAATTAAACGCCCAATTCAAACCAAACCTTACATGCTAATTGTGCTTAATTTTTATATTTGCATTTACTTCAAAGAAAATACACGCAAAAAGCTTCATCGCGCAGTAAAAAACAACAAATATATGTATAACTAATACGAAAAATTATACCCAAAACAAACAAATAATACTACCTATAAATAACCTAATAAGTAATAATATTTTAATATTATCGACTGATAAGATGACGTGAGCGTGTGCACTGGCCGACGCTCTGAATAACGACACGGGTTTCACGTTCAAGAGCTCAGCGCTCACTGACTCCAGCAAGCCCGTGGGCAGTGAATACGCCCAGATTTTAAAATTTTCTTAATAAAATCAAATTTTGGTCTTTTGAAAAAAAAATTATAATAGAAATGTTCATTAATAAAGTGCCTATCCATTGGTGTAAATCGCAAAATAAAATAATACTTACTTTACGAGGAGATCCATGTTATCAATAATTATTTCACATTTATGTGGTTTCGTTGTAAGGAGATTATATTAATATTTATTCCTTTAAAAAAAATTGGATATATCTCTTATGGAATCAAGATTATGTAGAAATATAATGTGTTTTTATTAGTTGATATATCTTTTAAATAAAAAGTAGATAGCTCCTAAAAACCGCACAAATAACGACTAGCGCGACATTTTGCTTAACCTGCGCCTTAAGTTGTATAATGTATATCAGTTTTCTAATTCAGCTTTTCACTTTGGCATAATCTATTACAAAATTAGCCAATATAATGTACTGAATTTTAATTTCTGACATACAGGGTTATTTTGCAATAACCGGCCAAATTTGCATAGAAGGTCCAGAATAAGTAACATAGGCAAATGGTTAAGAAAAATTTACTAAAAAATCGCAATAATTCTGTCATTTTTATCTTTTAAATTCGAAACACGTGGTAATTAATTATTTTAAATTATTTTACTGCTCACGCACACATTCGTATGGGTCGGTCAGTAGGCAAAAACTTTGTTGCCCCTAAATCATATTCAATTTGGGATAATTTCAAATAAAAGTAGAAGCCTTATTGACTCGTATTTTCAAAAACTGCAATAACGGTATATCATTATTTATATATTTGAACTTATGTTTAAAATTTGGCTACTCTTTGAAAGATAACCCGGTATTTATGTATCATTCCTCTTAAAACTACCATTGCAACCACGCCTTAACGTTAAGGCGTAGTTTGTACTTTTTAGTACTTACTAAAAAGTATAAAATAATTTCATATTCTGATTCATATCTGGCTTTAATTCTTCTATACACTATCTCTTAGCACCGGCTTTAGAATGTGAAATTATTTTATTCTTTTTATTTGAATTTGAATTTAACTTTTTATTAAAAGTTATTTTTATAAGTAAGGCCGTCTGTACTTACCGATGACCTAAAATTGTGTAAGTGTGATTTTTATGAGGAAGAAATGCACTAGAATAACTTAATTAACACGTTTTTAACGTGTGTAAAATCTTTAATAGCTTTCTCAGGGTGCGAGTCCTCGTTCCCTATCATCGGCGTCGTCGCTAGGGCTCTCTGGGCTGGCGGACGACTCAATGGAAGGTTCGGGCTTGCATCCTGCGTTACCAATGCATCCTCAGCATCAGCAACACCAACAACATCAGCAGGATTACGCACGTTCCAAAACAAAGTCAGTATCCGATTTAAAGATAGTGGGAGTAACGAATGGAAAGTGAATGAAATACTGAATGATTTAATTTATATTTTCACTTTAAAGTAGACTGCAATGTGTACCTTCGTGTTTACTTCTTATATAGTTATAGCCTATTTACGTCCCACTGCTGGGTACAGGTCTCCTCTCGTCGTTGCCCTATTGCGTGTTGGGGAACTTCATATGTCTACAAAATAATTTTGTTTTCTTATTTCTCAGACATGCAGGTTTCCTCACGCTGTTTTCCTTCACCGCCGAACACGTAATAAATCAGCACATAAAATTTAAATTAACAATTTCATTGGTTTTGGCGGGGATCGATTTCGGGTTGCTCGCGTATTGTGAAATTTACAGTGAGCACTTAGGTCCTGAGGTAGCACTGCTCCCCTGAGCTACCACGGCTCCTTTTTATATAATGCAACTAAATATTTGTAAAGTTCTTAAAAATGCCTCTTACTGCTATAATAATATTTTTTATAAGAAAATATAATGAATGTTGTTGTATTTGAAATTGAGAAAATGTTAGGGATAGTCTGCGAAGTAGAAGCGTACTCCTGTCCAAACACAGGCTGAACATACTACGTTGATGTCCTATTAAATGCTCACAATGATTTCTTTAATTTACGCGAATACTACATATGGAATAAAACTAATTTTACGGATTTTATCGCGTTTACTTTAAATTTTTTTAATTCTCGACGTTTCGGGCATTTTCCAACACCCATGGTCACGGGGGAGCGCCACGTAAAATCAAACGCGATAAAATCCGTAAAATTTATGTTATTCCAAATTGTCATAAATTTTAGTCCTAAGCCACCTGAATTCACCGACCTGCATATTTCGTCAGTTTGCCCCACTCCATTTAGTGAGTGATTGCTCAACACTGGGTTTACCAGTACGGACTGCCACTCGAAGACCATTCTTTCTAATTAATATTGGAAGTACTTGGAGCTACATGGCCGGCCCGTTGCCCGTTGCCACTGTTTGTCGGGGCCGTTACATTGAGGGTTGTGTGTGGCGGCAGGGAGCGCGACTACCGGCACGAGCTGCTGGGCGAGGCGATGCGCGCGGGCACGCCGTTCGCGCTGTGGAACGGGCCCACCGTGGTGGCGTGGCTCGAGCTGTGGGTGGGCATGCCCGCCTGGTACGTGGCCGCCTGCCGCGCCAACGTCAAGTCCGGCGCCATCATGTCCGCGCTCTCCGACCAGGAGATACAGCGCGAAATCGGTCAGCCACCTCGCATACACTTTACATTACGTTTTTATTATAAACGTCTTATTATTAATATTATAATGTATTATTGTGTATTTAAAGGCACGCCACGGAATATAAAACCTTTCTATTAACTTTTAAATGTTGGTTCTTCGAGCACGATATTTTATATTTTTTACCATACATTTTAATTGTCATTATATATGCACGAACATATAATGAGTTTCTGACAAGACATCCTGACATAATTGACCCCTTAAAAATGTTGATTAAATTAAATTTGAATTTTTGAATTTAGTATTTAAATATTTATTTATTATTTTACATGTTAGAATTTTTATGCTGTCGTTTGCTGATATAATATTAAATTTTATAACCGTAAATACAAATCACCATAACTTTAGTAAGGTACCAACAATATCAAATAATTTTACGTCATGAAAACATCAATGTAACATATTTGCTTAAAATTCACTAGAGATAACAATGGCAAAAGAGTAAAGAATAAGTTATTGCGCAGGCATCAGCAACCCGTTGCACCGGCTGAAGTTGCGCCTGGCGATCCAGGAGATGGTGTCGCTGACGTCGCCGTCCGCGCCGCGCGGCACGGCGTGCGCCGCGCTGGCCTTCGGCGACATGAACCACGAGTGGATCGGCAACGTGTGGCTGCCCTCGCTCGGTCAGCTCACCTCGCCCCCTCACACTCATCTCATCTGACACACTACACCAACACTGACACATTGACACCCCGATAAACATTTAATACGCCAAAAAAACGGACACATCAACACAGATTTATAAAAACAGTTAAACTGACACATAGACAGACACGCGGATACACAACCACAAATAAATCAATACACAAACAATGATATACCGACACATCAACACTACAAACGGATACACAAACACATTGAAGAATCTACAGAACTATACTAATACACTATTGCACACTGACATCGATACTGATACATCGTAACTGACACACTGATACACCGGCATACCGATATACGATATACTCACACACCAATATCGATGCACTGATACACTGTCAACGACGCTTTATCACATTGACATAACGACATAAAACATTTATGTTTTTAAAATAGATAAATAAACAAATAAAGAAACGAGTCAGTTAATTTTTTTTGTGTTGTATTTAACTTTTAGCGTTGATAAGAATATCTAAGATAGCCAAGATGACTTTCTACGATCGTTAATACTCTAGAAAACTGTAAAAATGAATACGAATGACATCTTATCTACACGATAAGCGATATTTCATTCATTTTATAGTTTTCTATAGCGTTAACGATCATGTTGGCTAGCCCCGCGGAACATAATAAGGCAAGCGATGTTGCCCTAATTCACTTTTAACAACAGTTAATAATAATATCATCTAATAACTTTTTGTCGTCCTGTATCTCTTCTACCTTTGATATTCAAGTAGGGTATATACCACCTTGAATATGCCAAATGTAAAATATCCAGACAGGCGGCGAAGATCAGAGTCAACATACGACCATGTCAACAGTACGAGATAACAATAACTTTATAGAAAAGGGGTTGTCAACCGTACGAGTACACAGTACACGTGATGGTAAGTGGATGCTGTGATTCATATACATCTACATCTATCTTCCAACACCATACGAAACAGCAGCATTGAGCTGCTATTTAACGCTGGTATTCTGTGAGAGCGTGGTCCTTGCCCGTTCGAGCCGAGCCATTCGTGGTAGAGCCACGCGGCAGCATTTGCTGTCGCACGGATGGGCCGGCTCGAACCGGGGTGGTACCACGACCTCACAGAAAACCAGCGTGAAGTAGAGGTTTACCTCTGCGTTTCGCTTGGTGAGTGCAGGTGGCCGGAGGCCCTTTTTACTGGAAATGAGGCATTCCATCTTAGTCCTCACGGGTGACAACGCATCTACATTTTGATTTGTAATGGAGGATAGATGTAGAAATCTATGGGCCGCAGCAACCACTTACCATCAGGTGGACTGTGTGCTCGTTTGTCACCCTTATTCTATAAAAAAAAACATAATATATTTGCAGTATTGTTCTACCACGTTTAAAACTTCATCCTAATACAGCGAATATCAATCCGCCTTCAAAGCGATATCGTTATTACAATGGCAGAAACTTATATTCATAGAGCGAAGGTTCTTTCTTACCCTGACTTACGCCTTAACTCTCTACTACTAGCTCTACTACTCTACTACTACTACTAGCTACTAACAGCATTTCTATGTTGTCCTTTACAGGCTTACCACAATACAGGACAACGTTCATGGAGTGTCTGGTGGACGCGAGGATGTTAGAGCACTTAACTAAGAGGGACCTCAGAACGCAACTCAAGATGGTGGACGGTTTTCACAGGTAATGAACACCGAAATATTTACCTGAAATAACTTTAGAGTTACAGTGGAAAATTGAAAGAGGATGAAAGGAGGCCTATTATAATGTAAACGAATACATGGTTGATAATGACCCATGGGAATAAGTTGGTCGCTTCCAAGCTCTTTCTAAAATATGTTTAGTAAGAAATTTCTACAGTCTGTGTTTTTTTGTATACAATATACTTTGAAAAAAAAACGTCCCGCTTGTTGTATTTGCTGGTTATTTTAAGGACAGATGTTTTTTTTTTTACCGAATCTGTGGTAAAACTGAACCTTTACCACTTATTCGGAAAAACTGACTGAACATAGATTTGATTTTCAACAAGAATCAATTGATCTATATTGAATAAAAAACTATTATATTTTGTTCCATTCCTATGTTCAACTGTAGACTTTTAAAAGGCTGTAATGAATTAATGAACGTTTGTTCAAAATATAAGAATTGGGGAATAGAGAGTACACTTGTACTTGCACATACATTCGTGCACTATAATCCTGTCCTTCAGATGGCATTCAGTCTCCATTGAGACTTGCCGCCATGACAAATCTCGGTCTAGAGGATATTACTTACTTTTTCTAAGGTTATATGCACTTGTTAATAACTCATATGAACGAAATATTTCAGAACGTCGCTGCACTTCGGAGTGGCGTGTTTAAAACGAGTGGGTTATTCGGTGCGAGCGCTAGAGGAGCGGCGTCGTGCAGCGGAGCATTGCACGCGTGACGTGCTCGTATGGACCAACGAGCGCCTACAGCGCTGGCTCGTCTCCATCAACCTCAAGGTGATCTCACCACGCACACACACGAGCGCCTGCAGCGCTGACTCGTCTCCATCAACCTCAAGATGACCTCACCACGCAAACGCACACACACGAGCGCCTGCAGCGCTGGCTCGTCTCCATCAACCTCAAGGTGACCTCACCACGTACACGCACACACACGAGCGCCTGCAGCGCTGGCTCATCTCCATCAACCTCAAGGTGACCTGACCACGTACACGCACACACACGAGCGCCTGCAGCGCTGGCTCGTCTCCATCAACCTCAAGGTGACCTCACCACGCACACGCACACACACGAGCGCCTGCAGCGCTGGCTCGTCTCCATCAACCTCAAGGTGACCTCACCACGTACACGCACAGACACGAGCGCCTGCAGCGCTGGCTCGTCTCCATCAACCTCAAGGTGACCTCACCACGTACACGCACACACACGAGCGCCTGCAGCGCTGGCTCGTCTTCATCAACCTCAAGGTGACCTCACCACGTACACGCACACACACGAGCGCCCGCAGCGCTGGCTCATCTCCATCAACCTCAAGGTGACCTCACCACGCACACGGACACACACGAGCGCCTGCAGCGCTGGCTCGTCTCCATCAACCTCAAGGTGACCTGACCACGTACACGCACACACACGAGCGCCTGCAGCGCTGGCTCGTCTCCATCAACCTCAAGGTGACCTCACCACACACACGCACACACACGAGCGCCTGCAGCGCTGGGTCGTCTCCATCAACCTCAAGGTGACCTCACCACACACACGCACACACACGAGCACCTGCAGCGCTGGCTCGTCTCCATCAACTTTAAGGTGACCTCACCACACACACGCACACACACGAGCGCCTGCAGCGCTGGCTCGTCTCCATCAACCTCAAGGTGACCTCACCACACACACGCACACACACGAGCACCTGCAGCGCTGGCTCGTCTCCATCAACTTTAAGGTGACCTCACCACACACACGCACACACACGAGCGCCTGCAGCGCTGGCTCGTCTCCATCAACCTCAAAGTGACTACACCACGCATACGCACACATACACGTACACAACGACACATACAGAAGACAAAGACACACAAACTCATATATACCTAAGTACACACGCACTCGCACATGTTCGTATGTTTACGTACACCATACATAACCACTTAAACGCGCATACACTAACACAAACATGTGCACAGAGATACGCACATATGTACACATAAATACGCACATATGTACACAGAAATACGCACATCTGAACACAGGAATACGCACTTTTGTACAAAGTACTACGCACATCTATGTACAGAAACATACGCAAGCACATACGCACATATGTACATCTGTACTCACGCAATTACCTACGAATTTACAAACCAAATGAAACAAACACACACTTTCGTATATATGTATACACCGAAACGCAATTATTTACACCACACCCGTCAAAATAGAAACACACATCCTTACACAAACATTTTTGTTCGAACCTGTATGTCGTAGCCAAACGTTTAGCGATTATGCAACAGAATGATCAACTGCGATTGTCAATCTACTTATCAAGCGTGACATTTAAGGCAAATCCTCTCTATTACGGAAAAATTTCATGTACAGCAGAAAACGTTTACAGACTAGTGATAAAAAAGAAGAATACACAAATAGAAATATTAAATTGACATTGATATATGTGATTTTTCAGGAATTCTCGAGCAACCTGTCAGAGAGCGGAGTGCATGGTGGCCTGATAGCGCTAGACGAAAGCTTCGACGCGAACAGTATGGCGCTGGCGCTACAGATACCCACGCAAAATACACAGGTAACATCTCGCGTCTCCCAGCTGTCGTCTCACACTTCCCACCTCCCACTTCCCTCTTCCTAACTTCCTGCTTGAGGGACCAAGTTGACTCGACAGCTGTGACGCAAATAGCATGGCGCTGGTGCTACTGATATCGACGCAGAACACACAGGTAACACGTCCCGTCTCTCAGCTTCCAGATCCCGGATTGAGGGACCAACTTGATTCGAAAATTCTAACGCAAGCTGTATAGCGCTGGCGCTTCAAATACCCACGCAGAAAACACAGGGTAACATCTTCCGTCTCTCAACTACAGCCTCCAACTTCTCAGCATCCGGCTCGAGGGACCAAGTTGACTTGACAACGAAAAGCATGGCATTGGCGCTAAATATCCCATACTATTATTAAAGATGTTTTCTTATAGGAAAGGGTAACAAACGAGCACACAGTCCACCTGATGGTAAGTGGTTACTGTGACCCATAGACATCTACATTTATCCTCAATAAAGAATCAAAATGCAGATGCGTCGTCACCCGTGAGGGCTAAGATGGAATGCCTCTTTTCCAGTAAAATGGGTCGTCGGTTCTCTTCACTCACCATACGAAACACAGCAGTGTCAAGGTGCCACTTTGCGTTGGTATTCTGTGAGAGCGTGGTCCTTCCTCGGTCGAGCCGACCCATTCGTGCTACAACTATACTACTAATATAGCTCCATCATGGCTTTATCACGTATAAATAGCTAAGATTCACTTAATAAAATAAAATGATGTGCCTTGCCTAGTTGAAGAGCTCCTTCCGACCTCCCGCATTTGTGTCACCACTAATCTCAACACCACTATACCCAACGTCAATACACTAGAAATGACACACCACTGTTGATAACACGACACGTGTTTCGCCTTTAAACGCCTTTATACTTAGGTAAAATAGACTGCGGTGGCTGACCGTTAAGCCTAATGTGGTGTTGCGAATAGTGGTGTTGGGATTAGTGGTGACGGGGATAGTGCACGCATTTAGTGAGAAAGCGGGAGGTGCTCTTCAAACTAGGCAAGACATATCATTTTATTTGATTACACGGATTTTAGCTAATTAATTTTTACATATTTTATATAATTGATTTCCGCAAAGTAGCGGCCTGATTCTATTAAATTACATTAATATGTTATTTAATAGAATCAAGCGCTCAAGTAGGAAGTATGGGTCGTCTTGGCCAGGAAAGGATCATTCTCACAAAAAACCAGTGTAAAATAGCAGCAGTTTCGTATGGTGAGTGTAGAGAACCGGAGACCCTATTTACTGGCAAAGAAGCATTCCATCTTAGTCCTAACGGGTGACTACGCATCTGCGTCTTGAGTCTTTGTTGAGGATAGATGTAGATGTCTATGGGTCGCAGTGGCCACTTACCATCAGGTGGACTGTATGCTCGTTTGTCACCCTATCCTATAAAAAAAAAATAGAACACCAATATTACTGTTCTTAATGCCACTGTGTTTCGTATGATCGTTTTTACTGGAAACGAGGCATTCCATCTTAGTCCTCACGGGTGACAAGTGACAACGCATCTGCATTTTCATTCTTATACGAAGATGGATGTAGATGTCTATGGGCCACAGCATCCAATTACCATCAGGTGTATTGTGTGCTTGTTTGTCATCCTTTTCCTATAAAAAAAATCGAGATACCGCGTATTTAGGGGTTGAGTTTGAAGGAAATGGCTTTTTTTCGTCTTACTGAGAAATACGACTTCGTGGTTCGAATTATCGAGGTTCCACTTCCACATGTATAGTATATAATGTTGTTAAAAAGTGCCTCTGGGTTTCTTGCTGGTTCTTCTGAGGACAGAGGTTGTTTCCGAACCACTGGTAATTTACATTGAATAAAAATAATTCTATTTTATTCTAATGTTGTATATAAAATGGTCGGTGTCAGGCTCGTCAAGTGCTGGAGGTGGAGTTCGCAGCACTGCTGGCCGCTGGCACGGAGAGATCGCCGCGTGCACACGCTCACCACGCGCCCTCCTGACACCACGCCATCGACTAGTCGCCCGCTGCCACGCCTGCCACACCTGCCACACCTGCCACACCACTGTGAGTAGCCTTCCTTTCATGTTCGCCGCGACGCTGGCGGGACTCACCCGGCGAGATGGTGGTTATAGGCATGAGAGATCCTTTCAAATTGTAATTAGTACAAAAATGTATTTATTCCGATCGAAATTTAGTGAACTACATTTGAAAATCTCTCAATGTCGAGTTTGGCTCTGTATAATGGCACAGTCTATGGTACTATGGAATGGCAACACTGTCGCGAATGAATGAATGAATGTAATGTAGGTGTTGCCGTATTGGTGATCCTTCTGAAACGTTGTTGATACATACAATAAGTTTTCAATAATTGTGTATAATATTTAAATGCAGTTTAGAGACATTACGCTTGATGTAACGGTATAAAATATGGAAGTGCTCCGATAACGTAGATTTATTATGTACTTAAACCTGTATTCGGATATTTATTGTTACTACTGAAGCCTCTAGTTGTTACTCTGCAGCGATACCGCGCTCGATGTATGGAACTAAATTCCTCAAACCTTGTTGTCTTAACATGATCACTTGCTTCTTACTTACTAATTTTGCTTTGACTTTAGAAACTAATTAATCGAATTAAAAATATGCAGTTGCAATTCAATAAGTTTACTTTTTAAAATGTAATGATTACCGTTTTATTATTTTATAATACATTTATATAATGTGTAGTCACATTATATAAAATAAGATTTTTATTCCTTTTCAAATATATCGACATCTTAGCAAAATATATCGAGTACGGTCCGCGCTTTGGAAAAAATGTGAAAAAACCATTCATTATGCGAACGCCCGCCTTTTTTAATAAACATATTATGCATTTGTAAGATGCTGGTTAATTATTGCGTAAGATTTCATACTCTCAGCCATGACTAAATGTTTTAAATCATTGGTTATAATATATTCTATACTTGGGCAAATGCAAAATGAATGCAGTCTGATACTTTTCCAAATGTAAGTTAATTATTAACCGGAGTTCTGAAACGCTTCGGCAGACCTGAACCCTTTTTATTTTCTTTTGCAATCAAATTAATAAATTTATTACTTTCTTTCGTAATAATTTCTATTGTTCTGTTAATTTCTTGTCGAATGTCTATTTGATCATAGTATAAGTTATTTCTATTGATCGAAGGTTCATTTTTATTGCAAGCCTTAGAACTCCAGTCATGATTAATATTGTCCAAGACTTCTCACAATTTGAAAGGTAAAACCTAAGGTAGAAATAAAGTTAATAAAGTACCTTTAATTGTGATTTTGTAATGGATCGAATGGAAAATGATCTGTACTTTATAATTCATAGCTTTTTTGAACATCTGCTAATAATTAATAATATTTCCATATATACATAGTAAGAATCTACGTATGTACATCATTTGTCGTGTCAAAGTGACAGCCATTTTGTTTTTTGTTTATAATCTAAGCTATGTCTTATGGTGAATGATTTAAGGCTTAAATTAAGTCAAGCCACATGTCATATTTGGCAAGACAAATATATAAAAACACGTGAGCGCATCAGTCGATCAATTTTACACGTCGCAATGCCGCTAGTTGGAAGTTAAACCTGTCTACCAAGTGCCTCGCTGAGGTGTGTATATATAGCTTTATGTAGGTAAATGTGTGCCTCTCCGTTTGTCTATCGCGTGTACACAGGTTGTACGAAGCGTATGCTATATGAAATAATTCGATATTTTGAAACGATTCTATGATTCTATTATACAAGATAACAGAGCTCGACTTCCTTGTACGAAAAATGGATCTGTGTTTTAAATGTTTATGACGAAAATGTCAGTGACGTAAGCGTATACAGTCGCGAACAAAAGTCGGGACGGACTAACTTAATTATTTTAATTGTTAAGTGTACGCACTTAATCTTTACGTTGAATAAATCCGAAACAGACGGAAGCACACACATACTAGTCTCATGTACAGTGTTGACGACATTGTTTTGTAATCTTCTATTTTATTAAATACATTGTAACTGCAGCAACTGAAACGTAGGTAGGTATATTTTTGTTAAGTGTTTACAAAGTATTGAAGCGTGCGTAGACCCGCGCTCGCGTCGAGTTACTTGCGTGCCTCGGCTCAATCGATATGATACAAATATTATCTAGAAATATCTAGTATCAATAAATTACGACTTTATATCATTTCAAAAGTTGGAATAAAACATCACAATCGATTAAATTGTTTAAAAATATCATGCAATTATTATATCATATTTCCTCGCATATCGTATTTAATTTTTATTGTTGTTATTTTCACAATAAATACGGAGTTTATGTCTACTGCTATAAAATTAAATTTATACTATGGTGATTAATTAAATTATTTATAAAATATGCGCCCGAATCGCATGTAACTCGATAACGGGCATAATAGTTACGAAATAAAGTATATAATTGTATAGCTAACCGATTTTAATTTGGTGAAATCTTTATCAGTAGCGAATATATTGTAAATATTACGGTTTCTACGTAGCGTTTCTATCGGCCGCCGCGGCGGCGTAGCTGTATGTAGCTAGGATGTGTTCAGACTTTAGGAATTTTTAATATTATTTTAAATGCTTCCTTCTATTTATTGACTAGTTTATTTTTAATTTATTAAGTGATATCGCCGCACGAGTATCACCGCTGAAGGTCAGTTATTACCTCGTGAACGCGTTCAAAGTGTGACGGTTGTATAAGATCACAGTTTTTTTATTCCCGTTTTTTTTTTATTTTGAGTGTTTTTATTTAGCGTGAAGGTGAAATCGATGGCCTGCTAATATTTTTCGGTTAGGGTATCTATGTAACGTTGTATAGCCTACGTAACAGTATTAATATTTTTAGGGGACAAAACGTGTGGCCTCGAGTTTGATACCGCTCGATTTTAGCGTGGAGTAATTACTAAACAGACAGGTTATCTCACGGATATCAATAATTATTACAGTACTGCAATATTTGTTTTCAGAGCTCTCGAATATGAGAGCGATGGATTTAATGATTTTTTTATATTTACACGAATACAAGACATTGACTAAAACAAATTTTACGGATTTTTCCGCGTTTATTTTAACTTATTTAGACTATTTCTGCGTAGATCGGACCAAATATTAATATTCAAAAGCCCTGTAAAGCATCTGGGTGCTGTAAAGCACTCGAAACGTCGGGAATTAAAATAGGTGAAAATATATGCGATAAATTCCGCAAAATTTGTTTTATTCAGCGATGGATCTTATTAAAGTAATAAGAAAGGCAGGTGAAACGTCTTTCAACGAGAATCTAGTCAAAAAGGTTTTTTAAGAAGTTCTAAATGAAATCAGTTCGTCCACAGTACCCACAATTTACAATAATTTGATGATGATGTTCATAATATCCTGTACATCACAACTTTCGGTGCTAAATTATTCGGGAGCTCTATTCCGTGCCGCATGTTATACGAGTACGTGCATGAAGCAACGTGCAGTAATAGAGACGTCGGCAAATCGAGTTCCATATCAGTGGTACACATCACTCGTTTCGTTGGTTGATATGGCTATAATATAAAACTTTTACGCGCAAGTGTACCCGAGAGGCGGTTGTTTAGTTGTCTGTTAGTGAATAGCTTTTCGGTGTAGCGACGTTTTGTATTCGGTTCGGGGGCGTGGTCGAATTGTCTCGTTTCGATCCCCCACTTAGGGTAGAGATTTTGTCCGATTTATTGATCTCGTTTATTACTACTCGAGATATCAGGTTGTTTGTTGTTCCTTTCTATTTCTTACCTGCGCCGAATCACGCTTTGGACTGCGAAGTTGCAGTGTACCCAGTGAATTAGATTTTTCACGTACGTCTCCTACCGTAAACCTCCACAAGTGCCAAGGTGCCTCCACTGCGGGACGGGTGCGCCCGTACTTACTAAACTGTCCGCAAAGTTGTCCGTCTTGCGTACTAGACGGCGTGACTTTGCGGGAGAATGCTAATTAAGATGACTGCGTCTTGGGTAGCGAGCGTTGTTTGTCAATTTGTTGTATAGTTAACTCAAAATTTCGTTAAAGTCTATCAAGTACCAAGTTTACAAATTATATAAATTCGGTGAACACCTATTGGCCACGCTTAGAACTTATTATTTCATTCGCTACATCTGTATCTTTGCTTATTTTTTATAACTTGTGACATTATCTATGTGAAACATCAGCGAATCGTCTAATCGTCCACACAAAACAAATAATGTTCAAGATTACTTAATAATATAGTATTCTATTTGTTTGAAATTATGTTACCCAAGACGCGGCAATGAAGGCATCCACGACTTTTTCTGCCACCAGGGCGGCGCCACTTGGGAATGAGGTGAAACGTTTGACAGATTTCATAGCGGGCAAGTTAATTTATTAAGAAAATATAAGGGTTAAAGTTTTTTTATATTATATTTTATAATAAATAAACCGTTTTTTATATATTCTTTAAAGTAAAAGAATTAAAAAGCCATAAAGAATAAAGAGATGAAAATGTGCAAAAAGTTAAAGAGCCACCACTAAGGCATTGTTTTGTGTATATTGGTGTATATAGTAAAAACCGAAAAATTTTATTCAAAACACAATTCTCACATAGGGTGACACTTTGTTACAAATAACTTGACCTCAGTCCCAACTAGCGACATCTGGTGAGCGTAAAATTATTAGCCTTCATTGGATTGGTCAGACGCGACCGCAAAACAGTCCGCCCAGTTCCGGAAACCGCACAGAGTGCGCTCGTGTCGGACGCCACGCCCCGTCACGTGGCTCGCGCTACCAAAGACTAAAGTTACCTTCACGTTAAGGAGTTAATGTAAAATAGGTGGTTAGTGAAGTTCCGAGTGTAAATATATAATTTCGCGCATGCATCGCTGCATCGCTTCGCATAGTGACGGGAATGAACCCGGCGCCGTGTAAACAGTGCGTTAACATTCCAAGCTTTCCGTGTAAGTTATCGCTTCCGACTTTCTTAACAT